AATCAGCCAATCAGAAACTCTACATGTGACTTTTCACTTTCATGATGTTTCTGGCAAAACTCCTAGTGAACGCTGATTGGATAAAATGCATCTTAGTGTTTTTTGAGCTTGTCATGTCTATCGCGAGAAATTTTCAGAATGGCCTCAACAGAATAAATACACTCTTTATAGTTTTTGATAGTTGAACTTTCAAGCGTTCCCTTTATTATGTTGACACAAACTTTGAACATCCAAGATTTAAAATGGAACTTTTTTTCAATTTATTTAATCATGTACTTATTAATGACTAGCTTCCAGTTGAGGTTCTTGAAAATCTAGTGAGAATCTATAAACAGTGATGTTCAACAATGTTCGTTATTAGACAGTTACTCACTGTACACAGTTGGATACTTGGTCACTGGTCTAAGGATCAAAGGTTTACGTGTAAGAATAAAGGTCTTAGGTTCATCCCTCTATTCTGATGGTCATGAATGGTTACTATCAGTGAATAGTCTTACATTAAGATATAGTAACTGTGAGGATGGTCCACAGGTGAAGTCGAGGAGGCTCTAAGAAGCCCAGAAGGATCCCGACATGTTCCATCCAATCAGCTTTTGGAAGAATATTCCAGAATTGCCACGTGGAGCTTCCCTATTGGACAATGCTGATAACTCCCTGTCTGTGGATTGGATAACTATAATGATGATTTTGTTTCTACTAAAAACTATAAATACCTGATAATTTTGTACCATAATCAACACTGTTTGGAATAACATTCCTTCTACTTGTCTTCTGTCTTTTGATTTGTGACTTGGGAGGGTTCCAGCATTCGAGTGCTCAAGTATTGTGCGATAGACTAAGAATTCTAAGTTCGAGATACAACAGTAACTATCCAATACTTCATGATTTTTAGTAGTTCTCTAACTAAGATCATCTCATAATTTAAACGATGAACATTATTTCATTTTACTTTCTCTTGTCAAATAAACTTTTGTTACTTTAGTTTAATGTATAATAGCTAGGATCATGTGAATTGTCTATAAAATTTCTTAAATTATACATAGTGAATTAGGTATTACATAGAAATCACATGTCAATATTTATTATCACTAAGCTAATTATCATAACCGGTGTGATATATACATGTATATATATATGATTCAGTGAGAGAAAAATGGTAACATATTGAAAGTACTTACTTGACAACAATTGATTGGAATAATTATTATTATGTTTTATACTTCATGTATATCATCGTGTAGAACATGTGTAAACTAATTTTTCTTAAGAAAAACTTATGATTATGTCATTTTTTTTGTAAGCTTTGATTCCACATTAAGAAGAGGTGTTTAAGCTAAACTGGAGCATATTATACCGTTTTTTATTTTAATTGTAATGTATTTGTTATGTGGTTAGTTGTGTAACATCCTGGACTGTCGTTTCACTTGATTTAGGACTCACCTTGTTATATCCTAGTAAAGACATAAGTACAGGTAACTTCCGGAACCTACTAATGGACGATTATTCTATATATATTCTTATTGTTTAAATATTGAGTAATTAAATTATGTATATCTATATTCATCTTATTATATGCTTCATTTTGATCTATGGATTATTATCATACGAATTACTATTCCTAAATTATATTCGGTTTATTGATTACTGTGTCTCACGTTCACAGCCACATTTGTCTTGATCTTGTACAAATATTATTTTCTATTTTATGGTGTGATCCTGTCTGTCTGTCTGTCTATCTGGTATATAAACCGAGTATGTTTGAAATAAATGATTTGCATAGCAGAAGCTGCAATCTATGTTCTGGACTCAATTGGGCGGACAAGGGGCCAATAAGGCCGCTAGACTGCTCATACCAGTTGAACGTCATTGATTTGTCACAATGTTAAGATTAGACAAGTCGTATTTCGATTGGTGGATAAATCACGTGATAAAAAGCCGGATATAAAATCATAAGGAATTGGCAACGGCCTTTTTTTTAAATTCATAGCACACCCTTTGAATGTACATACATTCCAATGTTGATATTCAAATCGAAACCTGAACCTCCATTACTTTTCACTTTAAACGTTTAAATATATTATTAACTTAATTGATAACTGTAAATAACCATTAATAATTGAGTTCCAAATAAAATGAGTCCATTTTTAAATACTTATGACATAGTGTGAAACTCTCTAAATTGTCAACATTTTTATTTTTAAATGATGTAAAATTTTGAAGGTTATTCATATATTTAAGAACTCTCGTCTAAATTGGAACGAATAGTTTCACAGTATTTGAGCGCCGAGTTGAAGTAAGACATTAAATAGGAATAATGTATATTTGTAAAATCTCAGCGAATGAATTTTTTAAATTAAATTCAACGTTTCGCCTGGCAATCTGGTCCAAGCTTTTTCAAGGAATCAATTCCTTGATTGCCAGGCGAAACGTTGGATTTAATTTAAAAAATTCATTCGCTGAAATTTTACAAATATATTATTCCTATTTAATGTCTTATTCATATATTGACATTGGCTATAGCTCAAAACTGATTTCAACAAATTGGTTAGTTAGTTCAAATGTCGATGTTGAATAAAAGAGAAACTCTGTAAAAAAAAAGTGCCCTAACCTCATGAGTACAGTTTTGATAGGATTATCAAAGTTATGGGGTATAAAAATTTAGATGTAAGTGATAAACTATTTAATAACAACAGAGATTAATTAATTACAGTTCTGAATATCAATAACAGGAATATGCTAATTCATACTAATACTATTTCAGTGTCCATTTTATGGGTCTTTGTTTTTGTTTTGATGTATTAACTAACAGAATAGCTGAGGATTTTTTATTGATTAAATCTATGATACATCAAAACTATTTATATTTATAAGTATACTCATTAGTTAGTAACAAGATCTGATCCTGCCTAGCTACTGTATCTTCATGAAATATAGAAACGAAATTTATTTTTTTTTACTATTTAAAAGGTAATTTCAACATCAATTAAATCGCTTGTACGTAATTTATAAAAACGTGAAGGCTTTCATCACCACGATGAACTAACAGTAACTTGAGCACCAGTTAAATATCAAAAAACTAACACTATCTCTCTTTAATCACAGTTTCTTTTTAATAAACATATCCAACCAAGTAACAAGTAGAATTTTACACTTTCATGCCATGTTATGAACTGGGCATTACTAAGACACTAGGAATAAAAATCTGTTTCCTTCTCAGCCTAGTACAATTTAAAAAATTATGATAAGATAAGGAAATCCATATTCATTTTTATACAGTTGACTCTTTATTTGGTATATAAAATCAATACTTATGAATGGACATATATTCAACGAATAAATGATATTGATATCTGTTGTTCCGACTGGTGTTGTAGGGCCAGTGAAATGTCACTGAACCCTAGCCAAAGCATTCGGCAGTTTGGTCACTAAATATAGAACAGATCATCGATCCCCGTCAAGATCAAGGACAGTCAACGCTCATCAGTTAATCATACGCCATGGACTGGCCCATGCGACAGTGGTTCTACTTTCACTTGTGTCTAGTTTAACTAATATATCCCTGTTATAACGTCCTTTGTGTTGTACAGTCTTCAGAGCATCCATGGTCCCTTGATATGTCGATGGGGTAATCCACATAAGGTGCTGACTGCGAGGTATGACTTCGAAGTTAACTTGTTCGTTACACCGTTCCCGTCTAACTCAAGTAGGCCCCCAATCGTTCGACATAGATCATCAACATTGATGGTCTACAGTGTGTTCACATTCACTGATTATATGGTCGTGGAAATAACAGTTGACTTGAAGGTGATCTAAGTAGACAACAGTTTTATTAACAATTACACATCATAATCTTTGAAAGTTTTAAACTTTTGTGTAAGATTCTGTTTTTTATTAATGGGATTATCAACTTGACTTCTATCTACTGAATAAATGGGTTTAAAATGTTGAGTTTTTGGGGAAGATGAAATGACTTTTTTCAATTAGTTACTCTTAATGATTCAGAAGTATTATTCAAGATATATATACTTACCTCGTAAATTCTCTGTGAAGTGAATGTGAGATTGAGAAATCTTTTAATGTGGTCGCATGATTAGATATTATCATTCATTAGTAAACAATTAGGACAATAGTAACTGTAGTTTCTAGGGCAGTGTTTTATAGTATTTATCATGGTTATCAATTATACGAGACTATTGAATAAATGCTGTAATAAATTTAATCTCAAATGTGAAAGTAACACTAGGTCAAGTCTTAGATTCATATTCTTGATTAAGTGAGTCAGTCTATTTGAGTACCTTTCATTTTGATAAAAAGGTCTTACTAACAATGTAGGTGGTTAATATTGCACTTTCCGCCTACTCTAATTATCTTGAATCCACTATCTCTCATATTACACATACCTCAACAGTCAATAAATCCACGCAAGATTAACACGTTCTGAATCCGCAAATTAGGAAACTAAGAGCCAACACCCATCTATAAAATATAAGACTAATGTTAAAAAAAGTTGTAAATCATACTACATGCATAAATAAGCCGTTTTTTGTACATGAAGCTGGTTAATACGTTTAATAAGTAATTAACTGGTAAACTATGTAAAGTAACAGATTTCACAAGCATTAATAAGACAATCAATAGTTTACTACAATAGAAGCACCATAAATCCATTACTTAATGAGTAAACATTGTGCATTATACAGAGTGATTCACTCAAGAATAACTCCACAAGTTTTATCACTTCTAGTTCCTCGTCTCATACTAGGACGAAACGGCCGTTCAATGATTCCAGATTTTCAATGATGCTCTAGCTGAGATCGACTCATGAATTCAACTATTAAGATAATAAACTTCTCACTTATTTATTTTGTCACACAGATAATTCATTCACTCCTATTGATCATCTTTGTATTCATATTAAGTGTTCTAATTAAACTATGTTTATTTGTTTTTCTAAACCGAGTTCACCTTATGATTTGTTTACTTATTTTGTTTGTTTCAAGTTTTATAGGATAGCAGATTATTTAAAAGAGTTATATTTAGCTGAATCTTGGTTAGAGAATCTATTAATATCTGATATTTTGCCAAGTCGTAGTCATTCACCAGTAAGACAACCAACGGATTATCGATCACGTCGAGCACGTCTTGAAAATAATCCAATAATGTCGCATAAAATATTAAAGCGAACATGCAGTGAACAACGTTATGATGAAACACAATTGATTGGTGGTTTATGGGATAGACGAGAAATGGATCTTATTCAAAAATTAATTCGTCGAGCAATCTCTATAATTGAATCAAAAATATCATATACACAAGTAAGTCTTAAATAGATAATAATTTTCATTACTTGAGTAAACATTCATTTCTGATATTGTGTTTACTGAATTTAGTTAGCCATTCCGGTTCATAGTATATAGAAATGCCGAATTGTTTATTTATTAATTTAATGGTTGGGATGCTAAACACTTAGACCGTGATACAAATTAGTGAATAAATGACCGATAAAACGGATGCTATCCAATTATTTATGGCATTTAATGATGTTTATCTTTCCGTTAGTATTTTGTATACAAGAACGTTATTTTCTGAGATAAAAAGAAACATTTCTTTAACTAGGTTGCTATCGTGCTTTTCAATATTGGTCCGATTGAGGAGGTAGGGGCTGTATACGTTATTAATTTAGTCTCATGATGTGTTATCACTCGATCAACATCGTTTCACTACAAATATCATCATTGGTCAATCAGTATTCTGTCCTCTTTTTTCTTAATAAACGAAAATCCCTTCATCAACTTATTAAAACTCTACTCCATAAAATTGATCATGGTGGGAACAAATATAGATGATTGTTTAAATGCTAATTATATTAGATAATGAGTTGAAACCATGATTTATTCTTACCTTAACAACACAGTGTGGCAGAAATTGAGTAACACTTTTAAATTATTAAGTCCGAAAGTAGAACGTCAGAGAAGGAAAAAAATGGGTTACTGTTTACATTGTGACGGAACATTCGTATATTTTAGTTTTAATCGATAAATTTGTTCAACAAATCCTAATTCATAACATTTATGGTAATAATTAACTATAGCCAATAATGGACACGTTCACTCTTGGCTCCGTTTTGAGATGGATTTCAACACAGTCATAGTTATGATAATGTTACTTCATAGTTATTAAAATAAGCAACTTTTAATTTCTGTGAAGCACATAATTCAAATCTTATTCTACTTATTGTATTTTGAATATTATTGAAATCACTAATTGACCTAAATTAGGTAACTGTTGATGATCAAGAAGTACTGGACAACTGTTTCATCCTTGTATAAGACTCTACACTGGCAATATGCATGTACAACTCTACATGGGACTGAACTTCAAACCTTCTAGCGCTTAACACTTAGACTACTGAATCGGTATCCAAAGGCACCTATTTACAACGTCAGTCAATTCGTAATTTTGTATATCCGAATAGTGTCACATTAGTCTGATAAATTAGGATGGCCGATAGGATTGTAATTGAGTCACTAAGTTTTAGTAAATCGATTAAATTACGAATTTTAACGACAAAAAATGTTTTAAATCCATTGTTAATTGTAAAGAATGGTGTTACGTCTTATGACCTGTTACACATCACGTGATCAAAGTCACCAATCAGAATACCGACTACTGTGACCTTGTCCCTGTGCTAAACCAGTGATGCATCAAACAGGGCTAGTAGCCTTGAGTCAACTTTAAATGCTCATCGGTCCTTGATACAGTACCTTATCGCATAGCTCATACTTTTTGTTACATCCCGATGAGAATAATGAACGGTAACTTTTGAAAAATGCTTCTGGATTAGTACTATACATATAGTTTTATTGTATAATTGTTAAGCAACTAAACTATTCATATTAGTGTCCCTCTTATCATAAGCTTTATTTTGACCTATAGACTATTATTATTATTATACGATTTACCATTCTTGAGTTATCCCCAGTCTACTGATTACTGTTCCCCCTATTCATAGCCACATTTGGTCAAAGCTTGTACAAATGTTATTTTCTATTTTATGGCACGATGTGATCTGTTTGATTGGTATATAAACCCAGTATGTTTGAGAATAAAGATTCATATTGCAGAGGCTGTTATTGGTGTTCTGGACTTAACTGGCTGGTCTAGGCAGAAAGCAGAACTAATAAGTACTCAAGACTGTTCATAGGGCTTTTGTGTATCATTGCTCTGATCGATAATTCACTGGTATCTGATTGGTGGGAATCATCACGTCATATACTAAACAGGACACATACGTATGCACACGATATAATACTTTTAAGTCCAGAACACCAGCATCATGTATCATCAATATCGTGTGTTACAGACATACTTAGTTTATATACAAGCAGATCAGACCTCATCACAACATAAATTTAAAAAAATACTAGTCATACAAGATTAAACCAAAAGTAGCTATGAGTATGGAATACTGTCATTAATATATTGGAAATAAATTAAGAATAGTAAATCATATAATAGTGGTCAATATTGTCAAACGGAAGCTTGATAAAATTATTTATTCAACAAAGATTTTGTGAGTAAAGGTGAATCCTTCAGAAATTCATTTTACTAATTAAGAGAAAAATACAAAGAAATGAATCATTGACATGTAACAAACTTGTACTCAAAATCATTGAAGCAAATTAACAATCTTTCTACAAGATTAATATTCAGGAAACTAGTAATAAACTTTAGGGAACAAGTAAATTTTTGGGGAGACTTGGAAAATTCCCCGAAAAAAAGTTTAAAAGGGGCTCTAAAAACTCTGGGAAACATTTTATTTAATTAACATTCAATAGAAGTGTCTTAGAAACATCTAGAAAGTGAAGAGTTATGTGTCATGTATCTGATTTGATAATTACCCTATCCTACTACTATCTTTAGCAGGATTCCAGAACTTTCTAGAGGCCTAAGTTCTTCTGTAGTGTTATAAATTGTTATAACTTATGAGTGTGTGCCCTGTTTGATATATGAACGTGCTGATCCCCGCCAATCAGAGAGGAGCGAATTATCTATCAGAACAATGATACACAAAAGCCCTATGAACAGTCTTGAGTACCTATTAGTTCTGCTTTCTGCCTAGACCAGCCCGTTAAGTCCAGAATACCAATCTCAGCCTCTGAGGTATGAATCATTATATTTCAAACATACTAAGTTGATATACCAATCAAACAGATCACATGGTACCATAAAATAGAAAATAACATTTGTACAAGCTTTGACCAAATGTGGCTATGAATAGGGGGAACAGTAATCAGTAGACTGGGGATAACTCAAGAATGGTAAATCGTATAATAATAATAATAGTCTATAGGTCAAAATAAAGCTTATGATAAGAGGGACACTAATATGAATAGTTTAGTTGCTTAACAAATATATAATAGGAAATATACAATATCATATTGGTCTATAAATAGTTCTCATAGTTACCATTCATAAATCTCCACGGGATATAACATAAATGCTCTCGATTTTCTGTACATAAACGAACCTTGGAGTAAAGTATTCTTTTTATACATTTCGCACCTTTTCTCTCGTGTTAAATTCGTTGTGTAGAGTTAGTTTTGGTCTATTAGAAGAGTTTAGGAAACAGATTCAAGTGTTTAATCAGCAGATTTATCAAAAGCTTTCTAGAATCATTAAATTTTAACAAGCGTTTTTTAGTTCTATTACAAGATACACTTGATGTTTAAGAGCTTCCTACGGATTGACTTGATAAAAAGCTTTGGAATCACATGATTATTCTAAGAATTATTTAGCTTCGTTTCTATACTACAACGTTTATCTCTATTGACGTCAAAGAAATGTAGGAAAAAAAGATGTTTTGTTTCTCTTATTCAATTTACATAGACGGACGAAAAGGAATCGTCATATTCAGCAACAACTGCAACAACTACAGCAACACTGAGTGCTATAATTTTTAAAAATGCTTCGACTGAAAAAAAGTAAGAGATTATTTTCTTGATAAATTTTGCTGATGTTCTAATGATTCATGGTTTTTTGATTAATTGATGACGATGATGATGTTGACGGTGCTTTTCTCTTCTATTTTTTTCCAACTCTAATACATACATCGAACTATGTAAGTTAAATGCAATCTAGATATATGTATTTGTGATTTATACGAGTAAGTGATTTATTGTTTAGTCATCATCAGTTGTGAAATTCGTTGATACTACTGAAAAAAAATTAATAACTGTGTATAATAATGGATGTAATGGAAGAATAAGGGGTGATCCTGGATGAACTTGGATCCCAGAGTTGATGTTCACTATAGGACTCAAACCAGCTGACGAGTACCAAACAAGACGAAACATGCGTCCTGGATTCCATTGCTAGTCACCATTCATCTCTGACTTTAATACTTGTGACTTAATGTAATATTTAGGTAATCTGCACAGGATGCACATATTCCAATAAGACACTGATCGATTGCAGTCCTAAACATTAATGGGAAGATTCAAATAAACAATACAAAATGAACTTACATTATCTTAAGTATCTTAGGTGATTTTCACTGCTGAAACTAAATAATCTATATTCGATAGACTACGTTCCATTTTGACCTATTTCTGAATGGTTATTCAGTGTTTTAATCTAAAGGTTTATTGAACAAGCTAATAGAATTGAAATGAATAAAAATCTGTGATTTGGTCTGACCAAGTTTCATATGGAGTGGGATTGTGGAGAAATAAAAATTCACAGATTTCTGCTACTGTAAATGATGGTTTCATTTACATAAACATATTTTATGTAGAAATTATTTGGATTTCCATGAATGTCTTGTATTATGTAAATAGCAGAAAGTCACATTCTCATAGGTTTTCAGTTGTCTAAGGTGTTCTGCTCCCGTTGAAAATCTTAAACCAATGAATATCTCTCGGCAAATCATATCAGTTTGAAATAAATACGGCTGACAACAACGTTGTCATGAACTGATATTGCTAAACCAAACTCACTGATTTTATGGGTCCGATAATAAACATTTCGTTGTCCGGCTAAAATGACGGTTTCGATTGTTGATAGAAGGTTACTAGTAAATGGTGGATGGAGGGAGGTGAGTCGGAAGTAATGACAAAAATTTCATACCCTTATGTTGGGATAGCTTCGCAAGCACAAAGAAGCCTCTAGAGCCTCTAAAGGAACCAAGGAGATTCCATCTAATCAGAACCTGGTAGAGCCTTCTGGAATATCTAAGTAGCATGCTACGATAGGACAGTAGCATAACTTGCGAATTGGCTGATGTTATAGCCGATGCTAATAACTAAAAATGCCCATATTTTTGACTTCTGACTAATAATCACTTCCCCTGTTTTTTTCTGTCTTCTGTTTTGCTACTGTGAGGTTCTATACGTTCGAGTGCTGTCAGTTGTATGTCGTATTCTACCATAATCAAGTAGAGGACGTAACATCTTTAAAAAATTATTCCCTTTTAAAATATGTTACTCTTTAATTTAAATTCATAAAACAGTGTACTTCAATGAACTTTACATTTAATGTTTACTTACATTCATTTATATCTTAAATGATTATGATAACCAGCCATTATTAAGCTAAGGAGATTTCTAAGAAATTTACCAGCGTTTGATTATGACTCTAAGATGAATTTGAGCAACCGTTCACCAATTGTCTTCAGTGAGTTGATATCTCCCAACAGACCTGGTTGAACTCCACTGGCCATTGCCTCTCACTAGAACTCCAGGAAATACCTCTTGAAATCACTCACTAGTGAGCATATTATTATTATCAGAAAGGGTTTGGCGGAGATTTCAGTATTTTCATAGTTGAAATCATAAGTCAATGGGAGCAAGACCACTATGAAAACCTGGAAACACTGTACGGTCGTTTCGTCTTAATGTGGGACCCCTCAGCCGTGATCATCCACGATCGCGCCTCGCGAGGTTCGAACCCAAGACCTACCAGTCTCGCATGCGAGCGCTTAACTAGTAGACCACTGAGCCATCCAGTGCTTCCAGGTTTTCGATGATGGTCTAGCTTCAATTGACTCATGATTTCAACTATGAAAATAATGAAATCTCTACAAAACCCCTTCTGATCTAATATGAATTGTTTAAAACAAACTGTTGAAACTCAATGATGTAATAAATAAATAAATAAATAATGATACTTTAGTATTTTGATTGATTTTTGTTCCAAGTTCGAAATTTAATACACAGAAACAAACAATTAAACATGAATACAACATTGAACTATTGAATTTGTTACTTAGGTGAGATATAATTATTTTCGAAATTTCCGATTTATTTCCATCATCAACATTACATGAATTCCTTTATTAAATCGTCAATATTGTTCAAATTTCAATAGTCGATAGTGTATTGTTTTTATATATATATATTCCAATAGACTAGTATCATCCAGAAGAAAGTCAATATTGACTTTTATGGAAGTTAATCAAAACAGGTAAGAGGATATTGTCATTGATAAAAAATATATACTCTTCATACTAACTAATAATGCTACTTAGTATTGTTTGTTTGTATCTTCCCATTGATGTTTAGGACTGTAACTGTCAGTCTCTTATTGGCCACATGTGCATACTGTGCGTATTGCATTGATATAGTCCTAATTCACAAGCATTGTAAGCAAAGATGGATAGTGGCTACCAGTGGAATCAAGGAAAAGGCGCGTTTTGTCATATTTGGATCTCGTTAGCTGGATGTACCTGCATCACAGAGTTGATGTTCACTCTGGACTCAGTAGCTGAGCGGATAAAGCGATGGTGTTTGAAGCGAAAGCTACTGGGTTAGGGTCCCAGAGTAAACATCAAATCTAGGATGGGGCTGGTACATCCAGCTGACCAGTCCCAAATAGTACGGAACGCGCGTCCTGGATTCCACTGATAGCCACTATCCATCTTTGCTTATAATAATGCTACTATTATCGAAGTTGAATGACTGTTTAAAATCAAGATAAAACATGGATTTGTTACTTTTATACGTTCCTTGCTATTAGAACATAAGACAGATCATATAGGAATTGATCGCTAAACTGTAGTAACCACTAAACGTTTATTGGCTTTCTTTCTTCAGAAGTTTATGAATTTTGTCATCAAGGTTCACTGTCTCACACTCTGTCTTTCTCTAAATTCACTATTCAATACAGAAAGTTATTCATCTGAGTGTGTTTGTAGATTTGTATTGGTTTGTATCATTTCGAAAACGTTACAGTCATTTGTGTGAGTATGTTTTTCGACTTTTCAAAGGATCAGAATTAACCATTTTGCTATATTAGTACCAATTATCTCTAAGTATATCTTTTTAAATATGACTTATTAGCGAGTTAAGTAAAAATATATTCCCTGAAGTACTTATATTGTAGTGCCGCGATTCGTTAATCGTTTACTTCGATAATCGTTATATTTCTAATCTTAACAGCGCGTAAAATCAGAAGACAAAGGATAGCAGCGACTACAGTTTATTGTCGAATAACTCAGGTTAGAAAGTTAACAACACCTGAGCGAATATGAACGAGCGAGTGAGCGGCAAGCGAGCGAGTGAGCAGGCGAATAAGCGAAGGAAGCGAACGAGGCGAATAGCAAGTAATTACATAGGCAATTTATAGTCAAGTTTAATAAGGGCACAGCAAAGCAAAACAAAGGCTGATAATAATATTTGCGTGCGTACATATATGGGGAGGAGTATGAGTCATCGAACGATATTTAAGCAGTCAAAATTTCGGCTAGAGTGTCATGTGCTCTAGTGGTATAACAGAGCAAAGATATATGCAAATTGTTACTCTCCGAATGACAATGTCTGTTAAGTAAGTTTATAAAAAGGGCTTAACCAAAATTGGCTATAATCAAAATTGATTGTAGGATGGTTGCTATAATATATGTATAATGTCGATATAATCTACATCAGAAAAACCAGTTAGTTTTGTTGAAATTTTCTTTATCACAGTAACATAGTCCAAGTTCCTATACAAAATTTAAACGGTGAGATCGGACTATCAAGATGGATAATAAAGTGATCGAATTAGTATTGTTATTAATAATATAAATGGTAGTAGGTAAGGTTAAGGATTGATGATATGATTTGGGAGGAAAGAATGAATTCATTAGATAAAAATTATCAAATAACTTTAAGACTCATGATCTAAGTGAAGACAAAGACTGTGAATACATTTCTAGAGTTGCAAATGATCATGAGTGGTGTCACTCAACGTTGCCAACTAGTGGTTATGGAAATTGAGCATATCCCAACCAGTTGATCTGTAACTCTATGTACTGTGTTAGCTGATGTAGGAGTCAGTTTTAATAAAGCTAGGAATGGCTAATCCAAGGCTTAACAACATTGATTATTGAACTAAGCGAAGGAGGTAGGATCAAACTAACTGGTTGGGATATAGTCGGTTTTTGTGACCAATGGTTGGAAATGTCGGATGATATGGCTTAGGATCAAACGCGACTCCATAACTGTATTCCCATTCTTTGTCTTCACTTAGATCATGAGTTTTAAAATCATCTTGTAAATTTTCACTGGATACATTCATTCTTTCTTCTCTAATTATACTGTCTATATGTAAAGTTTTCTTCTGTTAACCTGGAGAATAACAACTTATAACCTAGTATAACAACTTTAACTGATGCATATATTTGTCAGGTTTCATGTTACTAATGACTGATTGACTGGCTGATTGACCTACTGACTAATTGACTGATCATGTTGGCAACGATCAACATATTTAAAAACCAAACAAAACGTTTTGTAGTAATTTTCTGATTTATTAGTTAATTTTTATTTAAATCATGAACTGATCAGTGTTAGATCACCATGGAAGCACTGCACGGTCGTTTCGTCCTAGTGTGGGACTCCTCAGCAGTGCATACCCACGATTTCGGATGTGAAGCAGTTACCCACCGAAGACATAAGGAGATGGTCGTACAAGATCATGGATTATTTAAGGTTAGACATTACCACCGTTAGATTCCAGCCCAATGATCTAGAGGTTAAACGTCCGCACGCGAGATCCAAAATCCTGAATTCTAATCCCACATTCAGGATTGTGGATGCGCACTGCTTGGGAGTCCCATACCAGTAAGAAACAGCCTTACAGTTCTTCCAGATTTTCAATGATGGCTTAACATCGGTCAGTTAATGATCTTAATAAAAACTCAACCATTTTCACAACACCAAACTAATATTTACTAATTTGTTTATTTGTTGATGCTTTTCTTTTGTTTAATTTTGCCCAGAATACCAATTTCTTTACGTTCATTTATTCCGGACTGTGAGAAAATCACAGGGAACCATGAAAATACTGTTAAATGGAAAAAGATTTACGCTGAAGAAATTGTAAATATTATTAAAGTAAGTCAAGAAAATCTTTATACGTTGATATTCAAATAGGATTTTGTTTATTTGTTTCCATTGTACTATTTCATTATTTCCTATAAATTAATTCAATAAAAATATCTAAATCTACTGATGTGAACAGCGAAACAAGAAGTCTTAACAAACTACGGAAGATATTTTTGAGGACATTATTTCATTTAATTCAAAGCTTGTACAACAGTAACATTTACTTTTGCTCCTAGTCTATTCTACAGATCATAAGCTTTCGTTTGATGTATGATTCACTGCTATAGCATTTTCTGTTCCAAAGCTATTGTAATTTCGACGTAACCTTTTGTACTCTATTTTCTACTCTAATCCTCCAGTTTTGGACATAATTGTATTTTCCTAATTGTTGTACGTCGTGGTCGGGTTAATCATCTATTTATTGATGTATCTTCTTACACTAATCTGAAGTCGGGTACCAGATCGGAATTTGGAATAAAGCGAGTAGTTTTCCAGGTGTCTTGTCTTCTCTACTTCTAACTCACGCATACTAGCCTCAAAGTTAAGCCTATCACGTCAAGGTCTTAATCCACATTAGACAAGTTATCTCGACACGAAAGTGGGTCAACAGATCAAGGACGTAGCATCTACTAAGAAGATCTTAAATTGTTGGATCTTTTTATCGATAAATGGAGTAGTTCTGATCTTAGGGTTTCTATTTGTTTCTATGTAAAACACAATTTGTTCTATAGTGTTAATAATGTTAAGCTTTTTGACTTGTGTAAGATGCTAAGCAATTTCTACTTGAAATCGTGACTTCTCTCTCTCTTCTCTCACATCATCACTTGATCAATTGTTGGTGAGGTATTGTACACTAGTTAAATTTGATCAACACTGAAGGACTTATACGAATATGACACCGGTTACTAACTATTCACTGTCTACATTTCATTTACGTGCTCAAACAATTTCATGTACAAAATCAATCGTTACAAGGATTATTGATTTTTAGAATAGATTGATAATAATAATACACTTGGTATTGTTTAGTTGGATTTTCCCATTGATGTTTAGGACTGAAATTCATCAGTCTCTTATTGGCATAAATGCATCCTTGTGCGGATTGCCTCGATATTGCCACTAAGTTACAAGCATTATATTTCGTGTTTGGTACTCATCAGTTGGATGTACCTGCATCTCAACCGTACTGGGTAGGAGTCCCTCAGTGAACATCAACTCTGGGATCCAGGTGCATTCAGCTGACGAGTCTCAAATAGAAAGAAACGAGAGTTCTAGATTCCACTGGTAGTCACCATCCATCTCTGTTACAATTGATCACTTTAAATGCAAGAAAATGTCTTCAGTAACAAGTTCAACTTAAAGTATTTGAAAGTCTTGGATTCAATCCTCAATATGGTTATAATCAAGCATTATGTGAATAATTATTCTCTCCAGCTCTTTTTCTGCTCTAATTAATAGACAACTTATTAAAAACAAAGGAAACTATAAACGAAGATTCAATATTTTTCAGTATCTAATCTTTTTTAAAGAAAAAAACGAATTTGATTGATAGAATCTAGTTCAAGATTATTCGAAACATTTTCAATAAGTATGTAATATCGAACACTTCCGCTTATTTTTCCATTTATTCAATACATGAGTTCTACATATTAAAGTGTCATGTTCAACAAATATTTCATTTCAAGCATTTGAAAGTCATTTGTGTTATATCGTGTGACGCTAATGGATATCATGTGTTAAAGTTACCAGTTAGAATTCCTATTATCATTATTTCTATGGTAAATCTACTATCTCTTATGTAGACTAGTGTTCTGAACTTGATCAATTATACGTCTCACCCACACTGTTAACATTGAATCGATGTAATCTAATCTCCTATTATTTCACTTTGTATAAGCTTTTCTCTGTCCTCTGTTTAAATCTAAAGAGAAGTCAGATAGAAGGTTCGAGGGGTAACAGGCGTAAGTATACTAGAATAAAGCCTGATGAAGATCTAATTGGAAACAATATTGTTCGCTTATATATGTTGCTCCCAGATACAAGTTGTCATTGCATTCTAATCTAATAGCCTCTATCTTAAATATCTTTGTTTCATCAGTAAATTATGCTTTTAATATAAAGGTTATCGAAGTTGGAGGTTATTTCCAGGCAGTTGGTTGGGAGCTATAGACCTAGATTTCTTACTAGCTGTCAGTCAGCAATGCTTATCCACAATCGTGAAAAAAGCTGTTGCTCCAGTGAGATTCATCATTCAATCTGTCAACCACGGTCAGAAACGTATTGCCAATAATCTATTCGTACTATAAATAACATTCCGTTAGGATTGAAATGTAGACTTATATGTTAAAAATTCTTAATTGGTCCATCGATTTCTGTCTATTTCAGCTTCCTCGTTATCCTGTTGAACAACATTTAAATTTAGAAACTATACATCAATCACAAAAATCTACCATTTTTCTTTGTTCTGATCATCTTGTTTTAACACAATGGCCATTAGATCCACAATCATTTGTATGCAATGGAGATTTGGCACATATTATTCCATTCTATGAATTATGGTGTGATACATTGAAACTTGATGAATTATTATGCATACGATCATCATCACCATTGATGCCTGTGTCAAAATCATTAAATCATCATCATAGATTTCATTGTAATATAAAAAATTCCGAAATTGACAATGATCATTCAATCAAATATAATATCTCTTCATCATCTGGTATGTCAACTGTTAGTCTATTAGAAGGAGATGCTGATCTATTGAATAGTCCTTTCAATGAACATTGTAATCAATTAATTAATGATACAGAGATGATGAAAACATCAAAATCTTCTTATATATCAAATGATAATCATACATTTAATAATAATGATATGTTATTATTAATTGGACATCCGCCAATGGAAAATTGGGCAATCCGTTTTTCAAATAATAATCTTTGTGAAAAATGGCGACATATGATCAATGAGTAAGTTGATTTAATTGTTTTATTCATTTTTATTTTTATGTTCCGATTTATATGTTTGTTCTGTAACAATTGAATTCATTAGTCGATTTTAGCTAAACCACCATTGCAAACCTAAAAAACACTGGACTGCCATGTCGTCTTTGTTTGAAACTCTTCAGCAGTGTACATTCATGATCCTTCACTAAATGGACTCCAACCCAGGACCTTCGATCTCACACGCGAACGCCTAACCTCTAGACCACTGAGCCAGCATCCAAAGGTGTTAATGTCTAACTTCAATCGATCTATGATATTGTGCAACCATTCATCCATTGTCTGAGGTAGATAACTGTCTCATATTGGACACGGATTGAACTCCACTGGTGATGGCTTCTCACTAGAACTCCAGTAAATCTGTCTTGAAGCTAGTCACTAGTGAGTAATTCTGAGGAGTCCTATACTAGAACGAAACAGCGGTCCAGTGCTTCCAAGTTATCTTAGATCTATCTTAGAGTGACTCTTGAATTTAACTGTTAAAATAATTCAGTTTCCACACACATTCACTGATTATACATTTGTCTTCAGTCAAGATTAGTAGATGCCTAAATAGGTAGTTTAAGAAACAGTTCATCAGACTGATTATCAAAACAAGGTCAGTTAGACACGACAAAATATCTATGGCGATGCCAAAATATCAATGTGGAATGTGAAGAAACTATAGATTTTTTTATTTCAGAAAAATTAAAGTTGATTGCTTAATATATACAGAACAGATTAAATGCCAACTATAAGTCTTATTTTAGACTTAAATGTATAAAATACAAATGTACATATTTGGTTAGTGAAAAGAATTATTTTATTTGAAAGAGTTTTGCATCAGTCTGTTCAATTTGTAAGTCTTATTTGTCATAGAATACTCTTAGTTAGAGCACAGGGCAGCTGTTTCATTTAAGTATAGGACTTTACCGGAATGTATACAAGCACAACTAAACCATAGATCGGAAACAAGACCTTCAGGTTACGCAGAGATTGCTTAACTATTAAAACTACTGGATTAGTGTCCAGTGATACAATTTCAACTTTAATAGATTTTCTACATAACACTATAGTTAAACAATGTTGTTGGGGATAAATACTCTGATCCTTACATGCCTGAACTTCTTTAACCTCAACTATAAATGATCCTGGTTTACGTAGTGTATTTTCTTAGGCTAAATTCCGATACATTATTTGATTTGTTTTCACTGGAGATATTCAGAAGACAAATAGGAAGTTACATTGATGTTGAATAAGTACAAGAGTATTAAATAACCAGATCAAGCGTATAGCAGCAGTTAGGTCAGCAAAGAGAGGATAATGTGAAGATATATATATATATATATATATATATATATATATATATATATATATATCACGAATCATTTCTCCGAATTCACTTACAATCAATAAGGCAGTAGATAATTGGCATTCACACACACACAAACACACATGGAAATATACATAGCTGATTAATCATTTTAGTTATATACTTGTTTGACACACTTTTTATATGTACTTGGCAAGATAGGTTTTACGCGTACATAGTTGGAAAGGGTATTCTACAAACTCTATCAGTCATGACTTTTTAGCAGAACTCCAGATACATATTGAAGTAAAATTTAAATGTTAAGCTCGAGACCTGAAAGTCCTGGATTCGGTCCTTTGTGGGGCCGGGGGTGCACACTGCTTAGAAGTTTCATACTCAAAGGAAAAGTTGTGTAGTTCTCCCTGATTTTAAGTAGTACTTCAAATGAGATCAAACTGCAACGAATACTACCCACAAACATAATCATTTATGTAGTCTTTTACTCTCCAGGAGTTTCTCTTTAGTGTCTGGTCAAATGATCTAAGACTAAAATTACTATCACTACGGGGATTTCCAAGATGTCAACTCCATTACTTCCTTTACTGTTTAAGAAGTATACTATCCTCATTACAATTAATTATATTTCATACTACATAATATAATTTACAGTATGTAATTTTACCTAAAAAACAGTTATTAGGGTTTCACAGTCATACTATCATTTGGGATGTGATTAATCTATTTCATTAAAACAATAAGAAAATGATACTCATAGGATTATTAACATCACTCCAGGATTATTTTGCGAAGCTGAAGAGCTAATATAGAAAAGGTTTTCTTTTCCCAGTGTAACATTATGTAGAAGGACCATGATGGACAGAGTTGTTACGGAAAAATGAAATAAAAACGTTAGATTTTTAGTAGGCAATTTTCCTCAGCTTGATATATATATATATATATATATATATATATATATATATTGTTTATTTGGCCTCACTGTATTGGTGTATTGTGGGAAATTGAATTGTACACATATGGTACAGGTTCTACGTTGTTTGTGACTGACCTGCGGACATATGTGAGATGGTCAAAGATAATCGGTAGGGAACCCTGACACTACGTTTTGTACTATTTGGTAGTGATTAGTGAAATAAATCTTCAATCTTGAGAAAAATCATCCACATTTGTCTAACGAGTGCAAAGAGCACAAAATCTTGGTTCATAACTTGGAAAAGATTTCCTCAAACCAACTAACAGAAAAATATAGTGTATTCATTGTCTAGTTGCTGAGACTAATAATAACATTTCAGCTTGATTTACAAAATTCAATCGACACTTTAAAGACAAACATGACATTTATGTTACTATCAACTGATTAGTTAGTGTGATTTGCATAAAACTAGGCGTAAATTGTAGTTAGAGCTTACTCAAAATGTTATTTTATCACCGAATCACATGATCTCCCCTTTCTTTTTTCACATGATCAACATTTATTTTGTTTTTTTTTGGGGGGGGACTCAAGTGTTTACCTTTAATTGTTATAGATCATAGCAAAAAACCTAACACCCATTATTATTCTAATTTAGGTCTATTCGAAAAAGTCAACAAATATTCTGTGAGAAATCAATCAATGTAAAGGTGATCAATCAGATAATTCCAAATCATCAAGTAAGTTCATCTATATTGATTAATAAATTGCTTGTGACAATGGTAATTTTTTATTCGTTTTTATTTATACTACTAATAATAGTAATCATGTTTTCGCTAATGACAGATTTCTAAAGATCATTTGCCGTTGTTTTATTCTGAAGCAGTGATCAGTGGAGTTCAACCATTTCGAATGTGAGATAATTATCCACCTATAATGATGCTGTTGGAAGATACTTACGCAATGTCACAAGCTGATTGAAGTTAGAAATGTAAAGTCATAGACGTGGGAACAGAGGTTTAGGGATTAAGAGCTTACTGGGATCAAGCCTAAAAGTGGTGAGTTCAATCTCTTGGGAAAATTTGAGTCATGGGTTCAAATGACCAAGGAATTCCATGATAAGACCTAAGTAACTATCCAATGCTTTCTAATTTTTAATGGTTGTTTTTTCATAATGTAATCTTTAACTACTCTACATTAAACGTATTTGAGAACAAGATTTATCACTTAGAAAGTAAAGTGTTTAATAAAGTGAAAATATCATTAAAATCACGAGAAGATCAATGTTTGACCACCATTAAAAGCGTGGAGGCACTGGAAGGCCATTTTTTCCTAGCATGGAACACCTCAAGAGTACGCATTCACGACCCTACACGAAGGAATTGAACCCAAAACCTTTGGTCTGGCGCTTGAATGTTTAACGCTTGATTTATATAGCCACTTATTGAAAAAGTACGAATGAGTAAACAGCTTAAAATGTAACTGACATATTGTCAGCAAGACGAAGGAAAGAACAAATATATTAAATTCTTGACCTCAAAATGAAATCTTAATTGAGGATTACACACTAAAATCTAACATTCCCTCAATAAATGGACGGAAAAATGACGAGAAGTGTAAGAGACTACACGTTTATTGAACGTTTACAATATATAACCTCAGCCTTGTAGAAACACTTGGGTATTCACTTCGTATTCTTAACTTAACTGTGAGATAAATGATGGCAGTCAATATATTATTGTCATTTTTACATTGAGCGACTGTAATATCATGACTGGAAACGTGTGACAAATGATGAATCAGACTCCCGATTCTCGTAATTCTAAGGCTTGTATGCATATAATCTTGACGTATAGCACATTTTACAATCTCTTTCTTCTGTCATATCGACTGAAGCAAATTAATTCAATTGACTAGTCATTTTTGATACATAATTATCACTAGTAGGAATTTGAATTATCCAGTTGTTGATAAGCACGGTTGAATGTTGACCCATCTTTGTTGGGTTATGTGATGAGTGTATGAATTACCTAGATTATAACAATAAGTTGTTTAATACAAATAGATTCTCATTAGCAGTTAATGGCTATTCGAACTTAATTAGTTTATTGGATGAATAATGCATTGGTGTTTTACACTGAAAGGTATTAGATTCGAGTTCTGATATGGTCATAAACATCAGTTCATAGTTGTATTCAGTAGATGAGTGGTGAATAAGATGAAATGAGCTTCTTGGAATACACTGTATACCACAACCCATCTATTCTAAATTATTTCCTCCACTCATGTTGACTAGAAATATTAAGAAATAAGAATATTGTTAGCGTATTACAAAACTTAATAGTATAGAGTGCATGTGATCAATGTTGTAGATTTCCAACATTATTTCGTTGGTGAAATGTTTCTGTGAACCTTCATTTAATTAATTTGAAGTTAGTGGTTCCGGCCATGGATTGACCTAAGTTGTGGTAAAACTAAAGAATATATAAGAATGAAACAGTCATTTCGTTCTTGTTTAAATCTCCTCAACAGTGTCCACTCACGACTCAACCATAGAGTGAAAACGAGATCAACTGTTTAGTGCTCCATAGTTTTTAGTGGTATTTAATGATCCTATATCAAACTACACACTACGATAATGAACCAGTTTAATTTGAAATGAGATTCTTAAGTTTCAGTGTAGTGATATTAAAACAAGACAGTGAACTATCAATGTTGGATTTAGCGATTTCCAAGAAGATGAATTCAAAGAGTTCTACACATGTACTGTGCTACTTCAGAAACAGTTGTAACATTGCATAATTACATCACATGACTTGTGAACTAGTTCATATATGACTTGTGTTAGTACCATAAACTAGAATTAGTTCCCAATCTTTTTTAAAGGTTATGTCTCAAGAAAAGTGATTTATTCTTAACGTATCATTTATTATAAAATTGTTGACGCATATAGGTTTTAAAAGCAGATTCAAATCTAGCCTATAATTATTGGGTTTTATCTTATGTCAGTTAGTGGTGAAACCCTGACCTTAATTTATAAATCCAACTCAAAACTCCAGCTTAACTCTAACTCGAACCTATTTGCATTGTTACTGATGTCAGTTGGAGACGAAAGCTCGACGGGATTAGTAATCCTAGCTGGCAACACTAGCCCGACTCCTAATATATGAGTATATATGTAAACTTACCTTTTTTCTTTGCTAGAAGAGATAATTTAACTTGTGAATATTAATTATTACAATAATAGCTGTTATTCCATTACTTAATATTTTTTATTAATATCAGAAGGAGTTTTGTGGTTATTATAGGAATTTTAATAGTTCAGATCATTAGTCAATTGAAGGTAGAACACCATGGAAAACCTAGAATCACTGGACGGCCGTTTTGTCCTATTGTGGGACAACTCAGCAGTGCTTATCCACGACCCTGCCTCACGAGATTCGAATCCAGGGCCTATCGGTCTCGTGTACGAAAGCTTAACCTCTAGACCACTGAGCCGGCATCCAACGGTGTTAATGTCTAACTTCAAACGATCCATGAAATTGAGCGTCCGCGCACGAGACCGGTAGGTCCTGGGTTAGGATCTTGTGGGGCAGGATTGTGGATGCGCACTACTGAGTGGTCCCACAATAGGACGAATCGGTCGTCCAGTGCTTCTAGGTTTTCCATGATGGTCTAGCTTCAATTGACTTATGATCTCAACTATTATATTGTTTATTAGTTTATAACAAGTCACTGTTTCCTAATTAGCTGATAAGTCTCTCAAGGTCATCAGTATAATGTACTTTTACCAGTGAGTTTCTTTTAAATTCATTAAATTGATACTCATCTATATATATTTATTATTGACAAAAGGAAGACGATATTGATCTTATCTCTGTTAACAGATGGTTACTAATCAAAATTTTATCATAATAAAGAACATAATAATAATTGATAAGTGTTTGTCTTTGTTAACCACCAATTAAATCATTAAATGGTCTCTATGTGTAATTATAATAATGATAATAATAGTAATACAAACACCATTCCTCATTATGGTTTGATCTTAAACTCATTTGAAAGAAGAAACTTAATTGTTTTAATTAATTAATTGAATTTGGATTAAATTTTTTTTTCTAGGTAATATATAAATATCATAATATTTCTGTTGACATGACAATAGATCATTTAAAAGATAAATCATTGGAAGGACTTAATATTAATATAGTAAGTTGAATAGTGTTATGATTTTTTGTTACTATGATTCAGTTACACTTATTGCTTAGTTAGTCTTGGACACTATTTCAATCGATAAGTTCTCAAATTAGAACATTGTTGAATAGGAATGTAATTATATTCTAAATAAAAGGGGTTGAATAAGAGTAGGAATCATAATAAGAAAAAAAATTGGTATATCTCCAGATATCCATTAGCGTGGATTGGTTAAGAAGTAGCTGGTCAGTGTACTCCAACAAAATTGTTCACGGAACATGATTTTGATCCAATTTATATCCTGCTAACAAGTAGATTATGTAACATTTTTTAATGAGATACTATATTTTATATGTGTGTAAAAAATTAGTTTATTTTGTATGGATTACAAATATCTAATGAGTGTAAGACAGCTGTTTCTTCCTATCTTGAGACTATTTCAACAATAGGCATCCATAAACTTGGACAAGAGAGAGGAGTTGCTGACTTTGAAATAAATAGTATGTTAAAACTCTGTGCTCCACATTTTCAACGAATCTTGTTAATATATAAGAACTTTCGTCTAAATTAGAGAGAATAGTTTCACAGTATTAAATAATTCCTTGAATAAGCTTGGACCAAATTCCCAGGCGAAACGTTGGATTTACTACAAATTCATTCGCTAGGATTTTACAAATATAATATTCGTAGAATCTTGTTAATATCAGTGAATAGTGATATTGTAAACCGCCTGAAGTTAAAAATGTATATCATTAGATGTCAATTCAATGATTTGAAGGGTAATTGTTCGTCTGAATACTAAAAAGTCTTGAGTTTGATAACTGATGAAGTTTTAAATGTATAATGGTGATAAGTCTCATATAACGATGAAACAGGTGTTCACTACTTCTAGGTTTCCAGTGGTGGTCTGACTAAGATCAATCAACTCATGATTTAAATTTGAGTGTTATAATTATTTGATGAATGAGATTATTATTTCATTGTATATCAGTAAATGGTTTTAGACAGTACACTTGTTGGAATTCATTTTTTATAGTACCTATATTTTTTGGTAAAGGAGTGGGTATACAGTGAGAATTCCCTAGTACTGCATATAGACTTGTAAAACCATTTTCTGATAGTTGGATAAGTAGGAAAATTTGACAAATAACTCTATATGTGCAGATATTATTCAAGCAAAGTGACAATTACAAGTGACATTTTCAACCGGTCTGAGTTCGTAAGTAAACATTCTAGTCAAACAAAACTTGAATTTTCGTTATTCTCGATCATGATTTCGAAACTCTGTGTTACCTGTTAATCAGGATTTATAATTCCCCGTTATTGAAACTCAATGATTGTAATTGGTCGGTTAGTTAGTAACTATCTATACTCAGTTGTAATTCAATGTAAAATGCGCAAGGATCTTGAGTCTTAGTGTAAACATTAACGCTAGGATTTGACTGGTACATGAAGCTGAAAAGTCCAAATTTAGGAGAAACTGGCGCCTGGTATTTCTTTGCTATCTATTTGTTATACCAGCCTTCTCAGAAAAACTTCACCGACTATTTAAATTAGTCCTAAATTTGTATGGCGTCATATATAAAAACACAAGCGATGGAATGTTATTCGATGGTGTTTAAAAGTACAATATTCTTTTTTAGAAATTAGAAAAAATATTTAGAATGTATAAACATGGAAGCGTGTAATATTCAGACATCTTTTCTAGCATCGAAAGTATACAACCACAAAGGCCAAATTCGTTTATCCAATAAGTGAACTGGAAATGTGCGAAAGGAATATATCAACAAAGAAAAAGACTAATCAATTTAACTATAGAATACTGTGTGAAAAATTAAGTCGAACTAGGAAGTTGAACCAATGGAGTAAATCTATAGCCCTGTTTGACCCAGGTTGTATACTAGTTGGTACACATTTTTTGATTGGACAATTATCTATACCGTTATCATATTCAGTATATCTCCAGGACGGTCTAGAAGATCAAGATCACATGGAGTCCTATAAATTTTCTCGATTTTCTGTATATAAACTAACCTTATAGTTAAAATTTTACCCATATTTTGCACTCTTTTCATTTTGTTTAAAATTGACGTATAGAAGTAGTCATGGGGGGTTGTAGGGAAGGGTTAAGAAGTCAGTGATAAGCATTCCAGTAGAAATAATAGAGAATAATTGAAGAATTAATTTTCTTTAAACATAATTATCAATAATACTAATAAGTAGTATATTATTGTTCATATTTATTTTTACAAAGAATAATACAAAAGCTGATTTATATCTACGTTATATTGAATCACATGGAGAAGAACGTGAAATACTTATGTATGGTAAGTATGAATTTGCTTAATTAAAAGTAATTAAAGGATTAATTAGCTTTTTTTATTATCATTGTGTTACACATAATACACTGTGATATTTATCGATTTCACTCTACTACTCGTTTTTACACACTTTACATAATCTTGGAATAATAATAGACAGGTAACAAGTGTACACAATAATAATAGTAGTGCTTACTTGCGTACATTTATAGCAATTAGATAAGTGAAAAAACAGCTTGTAAGTTAACTTAGAAAGAGTAATCAAGGAAAATAAAGCTACCATTTGCTTTGTTGAGATCATGAACCAACTTAAGTTAAGTAGCTATTATAAACTAAGATACTGTCTTGTACCAATCCGAGACACATTAACAGTGCACATCCAAGACTCTAAGATCACGGAGAGAGTGCTTGGCTTTAGGATCGCTGACGCCAACATTCAGTGATGTACTTGTCTGAATTTAATCAGTTCACAATATTGTATAGCCATCGTCCATTATCCTATGTGAGTAACTACTTAACTCCTGACATGGTTGAACTCCATTGTTCTCTGCTTCTCGCTAGAGTGGTGCGAATCACCAACTGAAATCGGTCATAAGCGAGCACATTATAATCATCAGTATAGAAACCTGTGAAAATTATTGAATAATAGTACTGGAGTAACGAACCGACCTAAGGAGGGGTCCCATATTATCTATGTATCCGTTTATCACATTTAACAGTATTATTGTGGTGTGTGTTACATGTCGACATAAGCAGTATATAACGCCAGTCAGGAATAGAATGCCTAACAGCAGAAGGTTGATAAGATCGAGAAGGAAAGAACGGAAACAGAAAGCAATTAGTATGAAAATGCAGAAACAATGAAGTCTGAAACAATTATTGAGCAGTTTGTAAATAAAGTATTGGAGTATGGTTTTTCTATTTTATCAAGTAACTCTTTAATTTCGTGCTAGATACAATCGGTTATCCTCACATGCGTTCTCCCTCATTGCACTTTTTATCCATTACATTTTTCACGTTAAGGACTGCCTTTATTGTTTGTATAGAGATTTTTCGGTTTATAATTTGATAAAACAACTTTCGTTAACGATTGAGATCAATAATGACCACCTCTAGATGAAGCTGCCTGAAGTTACTAGCTGAAGTCACGTGACTGATGGAGTTCAGACATATCAGAAGTGAGATAATCATTATCACCAGTGCTATTGCGTAACTGGTGAGTTTTCGTAATGAATTTATTGAACCTAAATAATTAGATCGATAAGTCCCAACCGAATGTAGTCGAATAACAAATTATACGAAAACTAGGTCAAGTAGGAAATCCTGTCGACTATCTTCAACTACCTAGTATCTAAGCAACTTGATTGATAGAATTCTATCAGCAATATGAATTTCCTAGACGTAAAATTAGCTACTAATTAGTAATTTATTTATTTATAGTAGGAGACAGGATAATAGCGTCACAAAAAAGAATAAAGAATATTATGAAACAATAAAAAAGAGATGGACAGTACAGTCAGTAAATAACCATACAGAAATGACGCCTGGTGAAAGATACAGCTCAATCAAGGATACTCCAAAGAAGACTTCTAATTAAGACCATTTCACAATTATGAAGAGTATAGCAACACGGCCGTCAATCAGTCATATCTAGTAGTGTCTCAAGTTAGTGAGTTGTACTATCACTGGGATCCCGACCTTAGAGTCGTATTTGATCTACTAAGACAAACCCTAGTCCTATGCAGCTACATTTCGTACCATGATACTGTTTTATAAACTGACCACTTCGCCACTTTTTCACTCACTCCTTCAGGGTCAACAAATGATACACGATATGGGAGTCGGTGGAATAACATTCGTAAAACATGACCATTCCACCCGAATTCGGTGTTTTGAGGTGGTGATACTAACTGAGCTATCTTTATTGTGTCAGAATACGTATTGTCGAACTGTGGTATTACTAAAATATTGTTCCCAATGGATGTGAGCTATCCTATGTAGACGACAGTGATGGAACATAGAAAGAGCGAATTTCACAGGCCCAGCTAAATTGCCGAATGATTAACTCAGTACATATGTAGTTTAAGTAGAAAACGATTGTACATACTAAATATTTCATCAAATTCGCTTTATAAACTAAATTTATTCCTTTGTACTAATATTTTTGTAAATAGAAATATGAGTGCTTGATTTGTAAGAAAGGTATTTCACGTAATGTAGTGTTTATATAAATATATTATCTTGTGATAACTATTCAAATATATCATAATCCCGTGAATTGGTTGAAAAGTCGTGAGTAGTGAGATTTCGGAAATGTCTGTCGTGAAATATTTACCACCAACGACATAAAATGATCGTCGCACTATATCGCTAATTAGTTGGTGTTAAAATTGTATTACTAGAGATCGGCTCAGTGGTTCTAGTGGCTAATTGTTATCCATGAAACCTTAAGGTTCTGGGTTCAATCCATATTGCCACGTTTTTGGTTTTCAGTACTGAACAGTCCCATACTAGAACGAAACAACTGTCCAATGCTTTCTGGTTTCAATGGTACTTCAACTAGAATAAATCTAGAACGAACATAACATACAAATAATTAAATGATCTTTTCCCATTGAATACACTCACGAAATAACATACTTTTCTTTTCATCTACAGGTCCAGAAAATCCATTCTTAATAGCACTCTCTAGTGTTCAACTGAATTCTACAGATTCTTCATTGAGTACTCCTAAATCAGGAACAAGTGCTTTCAATACTATTAGCAATACTACTAATATAGGTAATATCACTGGGAATAATAGTCCAGACAGTAATACTAATCATTATAAAGATATATTGGATCTAATAAAGAAAGCCTCTATATCACCACAATCGGAAAATAGAACAACTGATCATAACCATAACAACAGTAATGATTACATTATTTCAAGAGATCAAATTAAAATTAGTTTTGTACTTCGTCCTGTAGACAAATATTATTCAACTGAAGATAATCAACCTCAACATCATTATCAAAGTGAGATATACCTCATTAATTCATTCAGTAGATTTTTTGCTTCTAAATAAAATATTCATCATAGGCTGATCACAACAGTCATAGGTCCTAGTTTCAATTCCGAATGAAATCAGTTATAGTAGTGGATTTCACTGAGTAGTGAGGAGGAGAAATGTAACATTGAGATGAGACAGCTATTCAACTCTTTTTAGTTATCAGATGGATATATGTAGAGAAATAAATGAATCATGACAAACAACGGAAGCTATTTTTGGCGAGATTATTGAATTTAATTCAAAGTTTGCAAAGTACATTTAGTTTTATCCCCAGGTTATTACTATCAGTCATAAGCTTTCGTTTGATGCATGTTTCACTTCTATACCCTTTTCCATTTCAAGCTATTGTGATTTAAACGTGACCTTTTGCACTCTATTTTTTCACCCTAATGTTTAGTTTGGACATAATTGCATTTTTCTAGATGTTTTGTGCGTTCTGGTCATGTTAGTCCTCTATTTAATTCATGTATCTTTTTACACTAATCGGAATCGGAATCGGAAATTGGGAATGAAGAATAAATAGTGTTCCAGTGGGTTCATCTATCTTTCTCCCTTGTCAACCAATAAAGTGATAGGATAGTTTCCGTCTCTCTTACCAAGGTCGTTAGTCTTAATTCAGAATCGCGCGTTTCTAGCCTCAAGGCTGAACCAGTCAACCTATCCTGTCAAAACCTTAACCTAGGTCAAGACATGTCCTCTCCTGTAATATTATTGGGCAGACAGGTCAATTAGTTAAGAAATTCTGTATAACTGGTTTCTGATCTCTTTCCATTATGAAATTTCTGAAATACTCAAAAAAGATTTATTATCATTGTACTATTAACAGTAGAAACTTTTATAATAGTAAAGTTTTGAAATAGAACTTAACTCATATACTGTTGTTAACTGAAGAATTATATATTAAAGAAAAATCAGGAAATGTTCATCAGCAATTTCTTGATTCTATTTGCAGATTATTCAGAAAAAGTGTATACTTCGAGATTGGTTGGTGTTTAGTCATTGACGATGATACTGTGACTGACAATCATAGTAGATCTCAAATTAATTAAAGATGTTACGAGAAATAAATCAGTGGATGATTCCCTTTTCATGTTTCAAAAGTAATCCATTCACCTTGATATCTTCGATTCTCTGCTTAGTGGCGGATTGATTTTGTAATAATGCACACGTTCCTATCGAGTTTCATATTAGGATAGAATAATTGTATAGCGGTTTTCTTGTTTTCAATGGTTCCCTACTTCCATTATTCAATCACATCATAGTTTTCTTATTGGACCTCTCCTCCTAATTTCTCTACTTGTACGGTAAAATTATTTTAACCAAATAAAGAATATCTGTTGAGGACTTGTATCTTCCCGTAATTGATACTGAAGATTATAATTAGTTTCTATTAGAATATATGCCTTCTAAGCGGATCGCCTCGATATTAACATTTAATCACTAACTTTAACCAATTCGCATACTGGTTAACAGTGGAATCCAAGACACGCGTTTCATCCAACTTGAAACTTGTCAGCTGCTGTATACCGTGTTGATATTTAGAGTAAAAGGTATTGGATTCGAGAAAGTTTCAGTGTGTGAAAATCAACATACTGAGATGTAACAAGGACATCCAGCCTACGAACCATAAATAGAAGAAACTCACATTATTGTTACCCACTTCTAGACGCTATCCAACTTGAGAAATAAAAAATCTAGCCTTAGATTATATTCAATAAGTCATATATGCATGATTGATACTATCTCTTAGAATCAATGATATGCACAGCATATACATGGATGTTTTAATCACATCAATCATGTTTTAACTTCGGCATTGAAAATTATAAACACCTTTAAATATATATATATATATATATATATATATATATATATATATACATATATATATATATAGTATTTTGTAATTTTTATTCCTGATTAGAAGTTACAACAAAATCTGATATGAAATCTACAGAATATATGAAACAAGAACGTGGACGTTCCACAGCGAAATCAACTTCAGCATCAACATCAAGAAATCGTCGAAATGAGAGGACACAAAATAATAATATGATGACTAAATCCAGTATATTCTTAAATCATAATAATACAAATGTTACTAAACAAAATACTAGTACTAATGTACCATTACGTGGTGCGATAAGTACTAGTTCACTTCAAATCGGTACAACACAAGAAATACAATGTGGACAAATTTTTGGACGTCTGCCTGAACAATGTTGGCCTGATTCTCAATTACCAGAATCTTTAGTGGTAAACTAGTTATCTGTTTTTTTTGGGGGGGAAAGCTGTGTAATTTTACAATCTCTAGAGATTTGAGTCGATATCACGTAGTACATTGATAGTCAGACCGGTGACCTCTTTCTTAAATTTGCGACTTAACCAACGAACAAAAATCAAGATCTTAACGCTGATTAGTCCTAGAGCTCCTCCTAAAACGGTAGTAGGTAGGAAGCAGATTACTTATTTATGGTTAGCGTTTTATTTAGCAAGGTTGTTTTCTATAGGGTAAGGTTGCTAACCCTATCCCCAAAATTCCTTTTTTATCCGAACTTGGGACTGACAGTAACCCTAGAAGGACTACAGGAGGCGTTAGTTCTCTGTTACCCAATTAGATAAAAACTCAAGTTGCATGAAATAATATACTTGAAATGTCTGAATACACAGGATAGCACACAAATAAGAAGACACATTGATGTGTGGGCGAGGTGATAATGATTGCTTGTCTACTTAATCATACATGTAGATAGTCTGATAGGTGTCACATGAGTCATATATTCCCCTATCCTTATTATTTATTATTATTGATTGACTGTCCATATGTTGTTGGATTGTGTCGGTTTTGGTGTGGAAATATATTTATGTTCTACTCAGGCTAATTGCGTGTTCTTGATCTGTGTTGAAGTCCTGTAGAGTAGACACTGGGAGGGAATCTAGTGTAGATACTCATTTAAGGTAAATTAACGTCCCGTTTGTGTATACAAGAAATGGGACAGTTATAACATACATTTTAAGCACAATTGTATCAGGAGTGGTGGATGGCGAAATTAATAGTGAATAGTTAGCGACAATTAAAGAATAGTACTAGATCCATTGAAAGCTTACACAGTAAGGGGAACATTTCTCTGCTACAATAACGTTAATTAATTAATTTATGATAATTCTGGAACAATTAGGCATATAATAATAGCTTATGGGTTAAATGGAAACTAACGAATAGGCAAATATAAGATTAAAGAATAATTACACGGCGAAATTCCAAACAATAATTTTCCATTGAAATCATGAACCGAACAATGTTAGACTACCACTAGACACCCAAAAGCATTGGCAGATCGTTTTGTCCTGGTATAAGGCTCCTCATCAGTGGGCATCCACGACCCCGAACGTGGGGGTCGAATCGGTCTCGCGCGTGAACGCCCAGCACCAAATCACCGAGCTGATATTCAGCGATCCTCACTTCGATTCCTCCATGCGGGATCACGGACGCTCACTCCTGAGGAGTTCCATATTAAGACGAAATTGCCATCTTAGTGCTTCCAGGTTTTTAACGGCGCACTAACATTGGTCGCTTCACGATTTTAATGAAACTCGGCAACCTCCATACCTGCATACTAATATTTTTTCATTGAATACCTCTTTAAGTTCAATTTTCAAAGTAATATACTTATACTGAGTTTTTCTCTATTCTATTCTTATTATTAGAATCTATTTGCTATTATATATTATAATGGTGTAAATATTGAAGGAATATTTCGACGTACAGCTGTTCATAGTCAAATTGAATTGATGAGAGCACGAGTAGATGAAAATATTCAAATGATTACACCAAATAATTGTAATCCAATTTTAGCATCGTGTGTTTTAAAAGTGAGTTTAAATAAATGTACAGTTATTATATTTACATATGTATTTGTATGGTGTGTGCTATTCATGTTGACAGATATAAGTAGTTTATTTACAGCAATAGGAACTGAAATGCCTACCAGAAGACGATTGAGTTGGAGAGAAGAGGAAGCGAAACATAGAGAGATTGGAATAACAACAGAATTGAAATAATCCTAGAGTATGTGAAGGATAACTGATAAATCATGTGCAAATAATGTATTTAATGTATAGTTTTCATATTTTAGGAAGACACAGTGTACTTTTGCACACAGTTATAAATTAGTATAGCCTACCTGAACTCTCGTTTACTCCACTTGTATATATTATTACTATAATTATTATTGTGTTCGACGGATGTAATTTGTCACTAATTGACCTCAATTGAAGTAGCATTGACATTTCGGAGCTCTAGATGTCTGTTTCATTCTCGCATATGTAACAGTAAATATAATAGTAATCATCGATATCATTGGTTGTTCGTCATACAATATTACAAATGATCTGATGTTGATAATGGTCACCGTTGGTCATCAATAGTTAAGTGCTCTCTGAAAGGTCTAGGGATTTCTAGTTTTGATCAATCCCATAAGTAGACAAGACAGCTATTCATTATTTTTGGGTACCACAATTCAGGTGAGTAAGTGATGAATATCATCTTCAAATGTGTTTATCTTGTCTTCCAATTAACATCGCATGCTTAATAAGCAGGGAAAGAGTGAGAGTTGTCTCAATATACTTGATGAACTTGATAGGTTGTTTAATACAATCTTGAGTCTTGTATCGCGTAAGTTCTATTTGTGGCTGGATAATGGCCTTGAGTTCGGGGAGAAAAGAAACTATCATACCACAAATCTAAGACCTAATTGATTTGGCAACAAGAGAGAAAGTTCGATGGAGAATGCTAGTAAGAGGCCTATGCTCCTCCATGAGGGGTAAAAGAAGTAAGTAGGTATTTTATTTCTTTATAATTAAAATGAAATCAATCTGCATTAATATTTATTTCAATAAAGTTACTTTCTATTTTCTTTTCTTTCCTTTTTTTCTCATTTAATAGAGATTTTTCTGTGAAATACCTGGTCATTTATTAGTCGACTCTAATTGGGATGAGTGGGCCAGTTTAACTGAAATTAATTCAGCATCGGAACGTTTACAGGTTCTTGAAAGGTTAGAGTTGGTTTATTTTCTTCTAGTTTTCTTCTTTTCATTTCCATTCCAAATTTATCACTGAAAAAAAACACTATAACTAGTTCATTTTCATATAGTTTGTTTAAATCTTCGCATTGATGTTTAGGACAGCAATTGATCATTCTCTCTTATTGGCATATGTGCATCCTGTGCGGATTGCCTCGATATTACCACTAAGTCACAAACATTATAATCAGAGATGGATAGTGTCTAGCATTGAAATCCAAGATGCGTGTCCTGAATTCTACTGCTAGCCGCCATACATCTCTGCTTATAATGAAACTAGTATGAAACTAGTTTTTTCATATCCGAACGAACAACAAATAAATGGTAACTGCTAGGAATCATTTATGGACTATCACCACATATATTCTTGCTGGATAACTATATATATATAGTTATCCAGTAAGAATATATGTGGTGATAGTCCATAAATGATATATATATATATCTTTTTATCATAAGTTTTCATTCCATTAACTAGTTTTCATTAACTACTGTTTTACGATTGACCACTCTCAATTTATTCCCATTTTATGAGTTACAGTCCCTCACACTCACAGCCACTTTTTGGTTTGACCTTGTATGACTTATTTTCCACTTCATGGTGTGATAAGGTCTGATTTGGTTGTATATAAACTACGTATGTGTGATATACATTACTCATACAGTGGAAATTGAAATTGTGTTCTGGACTCAAACGGATAGGGCTAGGCGAGAAGGGCCAATTAGGATTCAGAGTTGACGCAAGGGTGCTAGTGCTATTAGACATGTCATTGGTTTAGCATGGGGACAATGTCATATAAGTCGGTGCTAGGACTGGCGATTTTGTTGTGTGATAATTGAAAGTGACAAAAGTCATAACATTACCATAACGAATAGAGAACATTTGTGGATTAGTAGTATTCGATCATAGATACTTTCAAAACATTGCTCGTATATTTTGGGACCACTGAATGGTCAATGCTGAGGTTAGGCATAGGGTACTATGTAAAAATGGTATATCAGTTGATGAGGGGGTGTGAACATGTACCGTACATACCAAACTACTTCCTGCCTCGAACGGCGATGTTTGTTGATGTAAGTCTAGGTTGGAGAAAACTAGGGGCGGCTAAATCAAGACATGGCATCAGTTCATGAAATCATTGACTCTTGGACTGAGCCATATAGGTGGGTTTAAACTAACTGACTGTGGTCCCCATGAATATTGTAACCACTGTTTGGAAATGTTGAATAAAATAGCCTGGAATCGCTGGTGATAGCACAAATACATATTATATTAGTCTTTTGGTAGATCCCCAGTCCTAAAATCTCTCCGTACTTTCTACACCTAATCCTTTCTAGCATTATTGATGATGTTACTACTTTCACTCTGGAATTTGTCACGATATTTTTTTATCTGTGCTAACGTGATGAGGCAACTTCAGCCGTTGCACAAATCTACGTTATAAATGAGTGAGTGTGTATGTGTGTATGAGTGAGTTGAAGCCTCTCAAAATCTGAAACTGAATGACTAGGTTTCGAATTCACTGGGAAGCAACTTTTTTCTCAAGATTACTGAGACGCCCTGCTAAATTGACGTGTCAGCTAGCTTAGAATTTAGGTTCAGCGTTTCCAACTGGCTATCTGTAAGGACTACCAGTTATTTGAATATTTTTTCAAAAATTGCTATTTGCTAATGATTATTACTTTCTATGAGGATATATCTCTTTTCATTTAATTCGTATATATCAAATTTCAGATTGATTCGTAGTCTTCCCAAAGTTAATCAGACATTATTGGCCTTGCTAATTTATTTACTTGCACATATTCGTGATAATGAAGAAATAAACCGTATGTCAGCTAGAAATTTGGCAGTTGTGTGGGGTCCAAATTTAATTCAACGACCAAATTCTCCATTAGCATTATCTGATTCTATGATAACGACACAAATTATAACTTACCTGTTGGAACCAACAGTAACAAATTTCCTACTAAATACTAGCAATGTTAAGATGGAACTGAATCAACACTTTTCAAATATTTGGGGAAATTTTCTACAAGATTCTAATAATAAGACAAAAGTTCAAAACACCGCTACCACATCAACAACAACAAACACTGACTCATCAGATGATGATAAAAATTCTAAACAGTATTCTGATGTCCATTTTGAACGGAAAACAGCGAAACAACATCCTTCACGGAGAGGACATTCTGTTTCAAGTAAGTATTTAAAAAATAAAATTTTATAATTTAGTATTTGTTTCAGTGGCTTATAGTTGGATTCTTGACCGAACTGATGCTCAAATCGGGATTCTAACCTGACCCCATAGTCTAGGTAGGACTTTACCACTGAGGAATTTGGGTAGCTACTTGTCTCGTTTCAGGATGAGGAATATTTATAAATGGTTGGCCACTAAGCAGTCGTCAATGTCATGTTTTTCTAGGTTTTTTTCATCCTGATCGGATTCTATCGATTAAGCACATGATTTCCTGTCTATTACGTCTCATCACCTGAAGTCTCGACATAGTACATACCATCTCAATTTACTTAAGCCAGAGGTTACACTGCAACTTGATCAATATAATTCGATTAAGACTAAAAACTAAGCAACCACGACATCTGTCACTTCTCAGCGATCAATCACTTACCGAATGTTTAAGGGTTGATTCCCCTTATTCGTGGTCGTGAATATCCATTAATGAGAAGTCCCATACTAGATTACAACGGACGTCCAGTGTTTCTACGTTTTTCTGGTGGTCTTGCTAAAATCAGTTTGTGATTTCAACCACAAGAAAAACAAATTGATCATTTTCAGCACTTACAAAGGTAAAAATCATGTTGTTTTGTTTTGATTTCTCATCATCAGTAATTCAAGTTGACTGTAAAACTATTGAAAATCAAAGAAGTAGTGTATAGCTACTATTTTCACCGATTTTTAGTTTTGTTTTTCTCTCAGCACTGCGTACTTATAATCATTTTATTGACGATCGACCGCTTGTGTATGTCAGCGTTTTATATTTTTCTAAACTTTCAATTTTAGTAACAAAACTACATAATCGTTCTTATGAATCTGCTCAACATTCAATGAAATTCTGTAAAATGGCTTAAATCTGATGTTAAGGCAGTGTTTAAGTGCATAGAAAACTATTTCTTTTTAGTACATCTTTGATATTCAGCAGTGTTGTTAAGTAATAATGTAGAAGGGGTTTGGAGAGATTGTTGAATTTTCTACCTTACATCACGAACAGACCTTTGAGTGTCAGTTACTTTCTTACCCATGGGGTTGGAAGATGGTGTCACACTATACCCAATCGACTGAAGTTAAAAATCTAACCTGTTGGATGCCAAAACTCAGTAGTTTAAAGGTTGAAGACCAATCATGAGGTCTTAAAGTATTGGGTTCGATCTACCGTAGGAATCGTGGGTGTACTCTGTTGACGAGTATAAGCCTAGACAAAACAATTGTTTAATTCTTAATGGTTTCCAATGAGTTTCTAAGGTCACTTTATGGTGTATATTATTGAAGTTGACAATCCTTAGAAACCCGTTTCATTAATATTAATAATGTGCTCACCAGTGATCAGTTTCATGGGGTAATTTCTGGAGTTCTAGTGAGAAGCCAATAGCCAGTGAATTTCAATCATACTGAGTATGAGGCAGTTTATCTGATAGTTGTACTGAAAAATATTACTGAGTAATTTGAAATGGCAATAAGATTTAAGGTCAGTTATTGGATTTGTTGAAATTATTCAGTGTTTGTAACTAAGATAACCATTGAAAATCTAAGGAACATTGAATAACTAATTCATTCGGTTTGATTTGAGCCATCTCAGTAATACGCATTCACAACCTGAATATAGAGTCAAACATCACAACTTCAAAATATCATCTTATTACACTAAAGTATTATTACAGTTTCAGAAGTTAAGCTAGAATATCACAATGATTGATTTTTATTTGAAGCAGAGAATTTAAAGAAGATTAAACTCTGAAAACATGTGTCCTCAGCTTCTGATTGATGTATCAGCTGATCCTGTATGGTTTGTCTCCCTTAAATTATTGTTAAATAATTACAGACCTGCTACTTAGTTTTCAAAAACCTTTGACAATTATGCACACATTGTAATTTCCTACTTATTTTGATATATAATCAAGTATACAATAATTATTATCACATGAGTTTTGTGTTATAACTATTGTGCTCGTGTTCATATTGGGTAGTGGGATAGGGGAAACTGTATTAAGAAACAATTACGTGTCGGTTGTTTGTTTATGATTTGTCGGAAGAAGGGGTTAACGGTCCTCAGGCATTATGCAAAGTAGTGATTGTACGGATTCGACAATTATCTGTTCTCATAATCAGTAATCCGATCACGTGAAAGTTGAAAGAAAAGTAGAAATTCCGTTTTTTTTCTCAAGGATACAATAAATGTCGACTGACGAGATGCTACTGTTTTAATAGGGATATAGAAAGAAGCAGAGTTGTATTGCTTTTTTGAGATTTGAATTAACTAATGTCAATGGTTTAAATCGTAGACCAAATCAAAATTGTCTGTTACATTAGATCGAGTATAGACATTGTTGCTGCAACAGTCAGGTTGTACATATTCCAAAGGAGACTGATCAATCAAGACTGACTTTAAAACTAACAACAGGAAAGTTCAAACAGCCCTTACAAGTGAATTAAAATTTATTCCCGTTGCACAAGCCAGTGGCTACTTGAACTCATTAGTTTAATCGGTAATATGTTGGGTGTTTGAAGCGAAAGGTATCAGGTTTGTATTCTGGTGTGAACATAAACACTGGGGCGCAAACAGAGACATTCAACTGATAGGTTTCAAATAGGACGAAAAGCAGGTACTGAATTTCACTGCTAGCCATTACCAACTTTTATTTCGAAGCGGTAGAAGCAGTTCAATGAAATATCAGTGAACACTCATTGGGAATAATTTTTTCTGGTTAGCGTTTTTTAGCGAGTTAGTTTTCTACGGGATGAGGTCGCTAAACCCATACCCGACTATCCTCCTTTATTCGGACATGGGACCGGCAGTAACCCTCGGAAGGGCTACAGGCAAAATAATTGTCAACCAACACCAAAGTCAGAATTTTCAATACAAATGTCAAGACAGTTCTACTGTATGGGGTGGAAACTTGGAGAACTACGAAGGCCATCATCCAGAAGATACAAGCGTTTATTAACAGTTGTCTACGCAAGATACTTCAGATCCGTTGGCCAGACACTATCAACAACAACCTACTGTGTGGGAGAACAAACCAGATTGTAGTGGAGGAAGAAATCAAGAAGAAACGCTGGGAATGTATAGGACACACATTGAGCAAATCACTCAACTATGTCACAAGACAAGCCCTCACATGGAATCCTGAAGGCCAAAGGAAAAGTGAAACAAAGAACCCATTACGCCGAGAAATGGAGACAGACATAAGAATAATGAACAACAATCGGATAGAACTAGAAAAGATGGCCTAGGACGGAGTGGGTTTGAGAATGCTGTTCGGCGGCCTATGCCCCATTGGGAGTAACAGGTGAAACTAAGTAAGTAAGGAAGTAACTCATTGGGAAATCACAGACATGATGTTTGACCAGTCAAATCTGAAGTTATTTATTTAGTTAATAGTAAGACTTATGCATTTTCTGAAAAGATTAGGATTGATTACAGGAGATGAATGAATCTAACTTACAAGTTTTTCATGAACTGTTAACAAGCAACAATGTAGAAGGTGCAATGATTGAGTCTGAATCGTCATCCAGTAATTCAATGAATCCAGTATCAGAGACCAGCTTTATATTGGTTTGATATCCAGTTATAACCGAATCAGAGACAGAATGTGAAATCATTTCTGTTCTAAAAAAACAAGCAAAAGAAAACAATTATTTTTCATATGTTCATTATTCGAGGATCACAATACATCCAGAATCAGAGATTGCGAAGAAGAGTAGGGGAACTCAACCTTTTTTATCTTATGGTATCGTTAAGGTGTACGCTACTTATGCGAACAGAAATAAGTAGTATGCAGCAGCAATCGGAAGTGGATTCTCTGCCAAATTAGATTGAATTGAAGAGAAGAGGAAACGAAAAAGACAGCAATTGGAATAACAACCGAATTAAAATAATCATGTAGTTAGTATAGAACAACTAAAGGAAGATGTGCAAACAGCTTATTAATGTATAATTTTCATAATTTACGAAGACACAGTGTACTTTTGCGCACAGTAATAAGTTAGTTTCTCCCCCTCCCCATGAGTTTACGTTCACTACAACTGTCAGAAAACAGAAAACAGAAGATTATGTCAACGTGAAATATTTTCAGAAAACAAGAAACTTACTATGAGTGATATGAAGGTAGTGCAGATGCAAAAATGTTTAAGATTGCTATTAATTTCTTAATCTTACGACGAAAACATGTCACACTTTCCTATGAATAAGTAAGACAATGTCAACACCTCAAAATTATTTAATTCCTACTTTTCTCTTTAAAACTCAACTGTGATTACACTAGGATTTGGATTTTACAAAAACTTGCCAACATTATTTCCAGTAATAACAGTAATATTGAAGTGAAAGAAAACTGGATTGAGGAAAACCAATTTATTGTTCATAAAATATAAAAGTCATACATTAAATACATTATTTGCACATCTTGCTTTAGTTGCCTTATACAAACTTCATGATTCTTTTAATTCTGTTGTTATTTCAATTGCTTTCTGTTTCACTTCCTCTTCTCTTCAATTCAATCGTCTTCTGGTAGGCATTCCAGTTCCTATTGCTGCTAATATACTACTTATATCTGTCAACATAAGTAGCATACACCACAGTATTAGAAGTGATTTATGAAAAATCAGTTAGAATTCATCAGGAAATCAACTGAATAAGTTCATTTAAATTATCCTAACAGTTCACTTTAATAGCTAGCTATTCATGATATCATATAATATGAGATTTCACTTTAAATGTTAAAAACTAGTAATACAATCATTGTATTCACCCGTCTTTTTTCTCTCTATTTTCTATTTTATGTACATGAATTTTGTAAATATAAAGATATACCTCCACAAATAAGGTGAGCTCTATAGATTAGATTCATTAATGTATATACCATTTCTTTTGTTTAAATTAAAATTACATTTAAAGTACTAAATAAATATGTTATAACTCGGACTTAGGTTCTTGGTATGTCGCGTATAACTTGAACACTTGAACGCTAAAACCTTCCCAAGTTGCAAAATGATAAGATAAAAGACAAGTGGAAGGAATGTTATTCCAAACAGTGTCACTTATAGTACAAAACTGTCAGGTATATAAAGTTTTTAGTGAAAACGAAATCATCGTGATAGTTATCCAATCCACACACAAAGGGTTATTAGCATCTGTGCAATAGGGAAGCTACACGTAGTGGTTCCGGAATATTCTCTCAAAAGCTGATTGCATGGAATATGTTCAACTCTTTCTGAGCTTCTTAGAGCTTTCTGAAGTTCATCTGTGGACCGTCTTCACAAAATAAAAAAATAGAACATGAATAAACGAAATAAAATACAATCATGAATAATATTAAAGTAACTGAAGTTTAAAGCCACTTAGTACTGTTTGTTTGAATCTTCCCATTAATGTTTAGGACTGCAACTAGTCAGTATCTTATTGGCCACATGTGCCTCGGTATAGCCTCAATTCACAAGCACTATGAGCAAAGATGGATAATGGTCATCAGTGGAACCCAGGACGCGCGTTTCCTTCTATTTGGTACTTGTCATCTGGATATACCCTCATCTCAAAGTTGATGTCCACTCTAGGACTTGAACCCACTGCCGTTCGTTTTAAATACCATCGCTTTATTGAGCCAATACGCACAGTATGCACATACACCAGTAAGAGACCGATCGATTGCAGTCCTAAACATCAATGAGAAGATTCAAGTAAACAATACCGAGTGAATTTACAATTACAAATCGGTTTAATGGTTTACTCTGATTAGTTTAATGATGGAATAAAATATCCAGTAAGATAATTCAGATCATATAACAGTATGAATTAAGATTTGAATTTTTATCTAATTGGTCAATATAAGCAAAGATGGATATTGGCTAACAGTGGAATCCAGTAAGCGCGTTTCGTCCTATTTGAAACTCGTCAGCCAGATGTACCTGAATCTCAGAGTTGGTGTTCACTCTGGTACTCGAAACCAGTACCCTTCGCTTCAAACAACATCGCGTTATCCACCCAGCTACTGAGTTCTGATAGCCACTTGCTTATGCAATGGGGTGAGACTGACTAGTTGCAGTCCTAACAAACAAACAATACTAAGTGAATTTGATTGGTCAATGACCTAAAATGATTAATATTGAAAAAAAGTTTTCTAAAATCAATCTGTGACAAATATCATCTACTAATTAAACTAACCTTTTCAAAAAAACTTCTTCAACAAAACAACAATATTCAAATAATTGGCAATTTGCTTGAAGATGTTCTTGTAGTTCTAGGAAGAAGTTATGACTGATGGAGTTCAGATATGATGATATTGAAATACTTAGGACTCACTGAATTGAATGATCATCTTTTAGATCGTGAAATGATTGAAGTTGAAATTGTACCAAGGAAAGTTGATACAATGGTTTTAAAAGTTCAGAGTTTTGCTGCTATACGTAATGATGCTAAGTTTATTAAGATAAGAAAGTTTCCTATCGCCACCCCATATTTAAATTAGGTAAACCTGGGACAAATGCTATGTAAAAATTTCAGAACTTTTGTTCAATAAGTTTACAATTAATCAGCTTTAACTAACTAGCTCAAATCCTATGGGGTTGAAGGTCGCCGACAGGGAGACCCTAGACTCGGTTTTCATGTCAAATAGCATTAATCAGCAAGGTGTACTGTAACTGATAAGTCTTGCTAATTGAATGCTATACTCGGATCCTAAGCTAGTCTCGTAAGCCCCAAGCTAAATCTACACAGCAACTTGAACACGAAAGATTAGGCGCAAAGCATGAGAGAAACACTTTATTCCAAAGGTTTATTCATGTACAGAAAATATAACGATTTTATAATATTTTAGAAGTCCTCGGATTTCACTGAAAATTCTGGAATGCTACTAAATATAGTAGCAGTGTAGTAATCAGCCAATCAGAAACTCTGTATGTGACTTTTCACTTTCGTGATGTTTCTGGCAAAGCCTCTACTAAACGCTGATTGGATAAAATGCATCTTAGTGTTTCCTGATCCTTTCTTGTCTATTGCGACAAATTTTCTGGATCATCCCAATAGTAATCTTGGTGTTTTCTGTTTCCTGGCGCACTCGATCCAGTGTCCACCACTTTAACAATATGTTACCACTGACCTATTTAAGTGGTAACTGACCTCCTGTAGGACTAAGATGTATTTACGATTAGTTGACCACTGTATGGTAATCAATATCGTGTTTACCTAGCACTTTTAATGCTGATGGACCTCGGGAGAGATATCTTGATAAAATGAAAATCTTGTCTGATATTTCCAAGTTTGCCCTTTTAATAATAATTCAATTATTTTTGTTCCGTTGTGGAAAACATGGGTGTAAGAAAAACGATTATCCTATTGTCAGACAATTTTATTTTGCTTTAATTGAATCTTGTCTCATTACTGAATGTATTTTTTTGATGAATTATTTCCATCATCTTGAGTTCCTACTGGGTTTTTTTCTTCTCTTCTTCTTCTAGTTCTCTGGAAGTAGAAAATTCATTAATTAATGAAAGATTAGGTAATTCACTATTGAAAACAAGTGAACAACAATATACTGAACCGATAGTAATGAGTAATTCTTCATCAAATTTATCAATAAACAATAAATCTAATCATCAGTTAAACATGGAAAATCCATCACAGTCATCATTAATGAAACGAAGAGGTGCTGGACGTATACATAAGAAAAAACATAGCTTTTTTAATCAATTAGCACTGCCTGATCAAACAGGACCACCTAATTCTACTGTTACTACTGGTAAATTAAATAAACAAACTAATTATTCATCACCAACAGATTCGATTACAACAGGATTAAAAAATATTATACGATCAAGAACTACATCAAGTATAGTACTACCGTTATCATTTTCTGTAACAGCTACAACACCAACAACTTTAACGAATTCATCATTAACTTCGACAATATCAGTAGAGAAACAAGAACCTATGAAAAAGACAACTCCGTCATCATCATCATCTTTGTTATCTAGGCGTTCAAGAAATACATCTTGTCCACCGAGTACGAATAAGACAACAATTTCTAATGATAAATTTAGTGTTCCTTGTCCATTGCCAAGAAATCACATTAATTCAGAAGCACCGCCTGTTCCATTAAGAGGTCAACAATTAACACATCAAGATCTCCGATTAAAACTCGCCAATAATAATAATGACAATAATAGTGCTAGCAATAATATGAATTTGTCAAAGAATAATTCTGATCACTCAAAACTAATCAGTCATAATAATAATAATAATAATCGATTACATGAAGAAGCAAGAATGCAGACTTCCACTCCCACTACTCCCACTACTCCTACTACTACCACATCGCCTATATCACGACAACAAAAACCATTTCATCGTAGATTTCGGTCACAGACATCGACCAGTGAAATACCATATGTAACTTTATTGCGTAATGATACATGTAGAACGAGACAAGACAATAAACTGAGTACTACAACTACTACTAATAATAATAATACTTATAAAAAAAAACATTCCATGGACCATTCATTTAGTTATACCCAATCATTTTATGAATCATTCGAAAATGATCTATCAGTAAGTAGTCATGCTACTACTACTACTACTACTACTACTACCACTAATAGTAGTAGTAAAACAAATGAGTCTACTCCACCAATTAAAATTATTTCAGTATCGTCTAGTAGCAAAGAGAGTGTGCCATTGAAAACTTACAAAAAATCATCATCCAACCATAGTGTTAATGATAATACTACTGATAATGGTATTAATCATACAATGAGATCTAGTAGATCAATTCATTCATCAACTGATCACCGATCACGTAATAATAATAATAATAATAATAATAATAATACTAACAACAATACCAATAATAATATCAATACTAATAATGGTAGTATGTTACGATCAGAAAGTGATATGAGTATGATTTCAACAGATTCTTCATTATTATCCTTTTCATCCAATTCATCATCATCTTCATTACGTAAACATAACAATAATAAAATAAAAGATGATGCAATCGATATTACCACAGGAATTCCATGTCCAGTTGTACATCGTCCAGAATTTAATACAACCGGTTATATCACTAATACGAAACGTAAATCTAGCCAAAGTACAATACAAAAATTTAATTCACCACAATCAATAAATGATTATAAACAATTTAATAAATCCAATTGTAAACATCCATTATCATCTCAACCATTATACTCAACAACAACACCACCACCAACAACAACAACATCTTCATCATCATCATCATCATCATTTTCATCATCACCATCACCGACATCATTTAGTAGTTCAGATATTGGTTATGTTACATCACATCATGAAAATTTAGAAAATATTATTTATAATGATAATCATTCTAAAGTATTAATGAATTGTATAAATAATGAAAATCGTAATAGTAGTAATGCAGTTAGTCGAATGAGTTCACATGCATCAACTATATCAAGTGGTTCAGTGACAGTAATTTCAACATCAACAGAAAAATAATTATTATATTATTTCAAATAGTTTATTCTTCTCCTTCTTCTTTCTATGTATCGTTCTTCCCTAAACCCTATATTTAATCTAACCATATAAACATGATTCATTTGGAATTATATAACTGTAACATGATACATACATGGATAGATAGATATCTATATACTACTTATTTGTATGAATGTCGATGAAATCAAAAAAATTAAATGAATATGAGAGATGATCATTAATCTATGCTTATTATCATCTACATTTGATTGAATTAGAAAACCCCTTTTTTAAAAAAAGAGTACAATATGAAATGGAATACCTGATCTAACAATATTAACCATTCATATATATATTCCGCATACATGAATGTAATCCACCAGTGATGTATATCATATCAATAAAGAGAGTAAAAGGTAAAGAAAGACAATATACCTCTATACTTTTAATAAGTAACCATTCCTTTGCTTCTTCCTTTTACTTCAGTTCAATTTGCAAAGATAAACAGTAATAATTCATTAATTGATTTTATTAATTACAAATATCCATATTGATCAATCAATGAATTTCGTCTACTACTTTCATAATGATAATCAATTTTTAATGCTTACTGAATTGTATTGATGATTGGTTACTTTTTTCTTGTTTCAATTTTGTGTACATAATATTTGGTATTAATTTTATAATTGGTTTTATAGTATACAATATTAGTTTTATGCTTCTCTTTCCTCAACGTATCATTTTTTTGGATTGAAAAGATTTCAGTATGAGGACTTGTGGAGATTGTAGTTATTCCACAGTTAAATTCATGAGTCGATCTAAGTTAGATCATTGTTGAAAACCTGGAAGCACTAGACGGCTGTTTCGTCCTAGTATAGGACTCCTCGGTAGTGCGCGTCCACGATCCCGCGCGTACAACTAGGGACCCAAGATCTTTGGTCCCATGGGCAAACGCTTAACCTCTAAATGACTGAGATAGCATTTAATAACGTTAATATCTACTAGGACGAAATGGCCGTTCAATCCTTCCATGTTTTCAAAGGTGGTCTACCTAAGATGGGTTCATAATTTAACAACCTCTACAACCCCTTACTGACCATTTTAAAAGTGTTAGACTCTTCAATTTTTTTGGTATGTCCACTTAACCGAATCATAAGATTATAGAGTCGACTGACCACGAGAGTTCGGTTATGTTATGATCAGGCCATTCGCCTTTTCTTTCATCACTTAAATGAATTACTGAAAATACAACCGGGAAACTCCAATTTCTACTGATCCAGTATAATTCCTTCTATTCCCAGTAAACAGTCAGAATACGAAGATAGCAAGCAGAAAAGCATTCTACGATTATGAATATCAAAACGTATAGAATTGTTACATTGTATCTTGTGATTGCTGACCAGTATCACGTGATAAATGACCAATCAAAATACTGGTTGTAATGTGGTCTATTTTATGTCCACAATTTACTCTACAGCTCAGTGTCTCGAATTTTGCCAATGCACATCACACCATAATTAATAACCTTGAATCAACAGCTACTTCCTATTGATTCACGATTCTATGGCATCCCTCTGCTCCGCCCTTGATTTCAAAAGTCTACAATCGGCTTCTACTATATTTATATTTCGGAAAGACGCTGTTTTTAGATAGACATCGAGCCGCATACCACCATAAAATGAACAATAACTATTCTTGAACAAGTGGCTGTGGCTAAGTAGGACTGTAAATGATAAACTGGTGACTGATTAAGAACAGTACATTGTATAGTAGTAGTTAATCAGCTAACCAAAAGCTTATGACGAAAAGAGTATATACAAATATAATAATCTAGTCTTTTCTTAATTATACTTTATATATATATATATATATATATAGAGAGAGAGAGAGAGAGAGAGAAAGGGAGAGAGTTTACAAATCGGTTAACATTCCTTCAGTCATTGTTCTGATTTAACGATTACACTAATTACCTGGTCACAATACGCCTCAAACAAGAAACCCTGATTGATATAATACCAAGTTCCATAGATGATTAAAAATGTGGGGTGATAAATGAATAATGAATTAATGACAATTCTGGGGCGATAAAATTTTTATAACGATGGCTAATAACCTAAGTGAAAGTTTATATTTAGGACAATATGAAGACACTATCAGAGCAAATGATTTCACAACCATGAACTTGTGAAATATATAGTAGTCATGTGTTGTGTGCTACTGGTGTCAACGGATATAAGTAGTATGTATCATCAGTTGAAAGTAAAATGCCTGAAGGCAAAATATTAAGAAGACCAAAGAAAAGAAAACGAAAAGAATAAATGATTGGTATGGAATCAAAAGAACAATGAAGTCTGGAACGATTGACTGATATTTGCAAAGGAACAGTCAGGTATGAGACAAATGATTAACATTTTGCAAATTAAGTATTTACTGTATGGTTCTCAGATTTTACTAGGACTTTCTGTAATTTTGTTTTGAAATACATTCTATTGTTCCCACTTTTGTTGCCGTTCACTACAGTTTATTTTAGAATTAGGTCTAAAACTCCCACCGCTCTCAAATATCTACTTCTATCTAACAGGAATCTGTGACTTTAACTCATCGATGTAAAGACGGTTTTCGTTATGAAATGATATTGATAAAATGATTAATGATTAGACGTCTGAACCTATGATTTTTTATGATATTGAACACAAGACTTTTCACTTCTATGATACGCATGACATTAGTTAATTTTTTAAAGAAAAATGAACCACTAAAAATGTAAGATATTTTTGCACTGACCAGCGGCCTGCTTGAACATCTGGGCTATCTGTTCCTGTCATCTTACTTACTTACTTACGGAGTAAGCGGAGTTTGTTCCTGTCATATAGATATTTCAATAACTTATCGAATTTTGTTTGTTTTAATACATTATTATGACCATCCATCGCACAACCTATTCAAGTGCGTCTCTGAAAAGTGTACAAACATTCATTGTATAAGTTACAAAGGCCCAATCACAGATATCGTGGTTGCTGGCAATATATAGCGAAATGAATGTACATTCTTTAGATGTCGGTTGACTGGACTGCTAACTTCTAACTGGCGATCACTCAATATTTATCATTAGGATCGATTAAGAAGTAAGAAATGGAAACTTGATGAAATGCTTTGTGCTGAGAATTCTATATTGTACCAAAAATATAATAGTGACTAAAGCTAATGATAATTAAAAATGAAAAGAAAAAAAAGAAAAAAACTTTCATTGATCAGTTCAGGATTATCGGAAGATAATTATTCCCCATCAGAAAATGTCTCAAGAAAAACTGGAACTGATCAAGGTAAACTGTTTAGATTTGGATTTATGTAAACTGAATTATACAAAACTTTATCATGATTTGAATCTTGATTTCCTGTGTAAGTTTGTAAGTTCAATTCGCAATGGATGATTGGATAAAATTAAAAAGAAACTGCCAATTTAACACCCATACTTGTTATTGATCATTAATAAGATGATTCTATGGTATTGCACAAATGAACCCACCTCCGTAGGTCCAAAATTACATTACACATTGTTGCAACCAGTAGGGTAGGTTTCTAAATTTTGGAAAAAGCACTACATTTTTTCATTCCTTTCAGAAAAATCTAGTTAATAAATGGAAACAAACACATTGCTTAAATTTAGAGCTTCTCTAATCAACTGCTATCAGTTATCTAACATTGAATAAATTAACCATTCAGTTAGGTACCAGTACAAATCGTTGCACTAAAAATATCTATATTAGGGATATTTGGTGAATTGATATAAACTGATACATAGTCCAACAATCTTCACAAACTACCCTAAACTGATAGTAATTATGAGCTTACTCGTAACTAATTTGTGGGATTAATTCATGAAGTTCTATTGAAAAGCCATAAGTAGGGCAGCCTAACCATGTCGGTTGTGAAGCAGTTATCCACAAATGGCATCAAAATATGCTTGTGAAACGAGATGCATAGTTTCTGAGTTTTGTCTTCAGTCTGGTGGGAAATCTTTACTGTTGAGCTTTCCTATCCAATGATGAAAGGACCGTTCAATCCGTCTTGGTTACCTATGATTGTCTAACTAAGGTTGATATAAGGAGTTGATATAAGTTAAATAAAAAATTTGTTAAAGTATGGTTCATATGTTTAAGAGTAGACTCGTCATTTCAAAAAAATAAACAGACTATTCAGAGTTTAAGCTTATTATGTGTGAAATTTGTATTAAAAAATCCTACTATAATTTAACTAGAAACGTAAGGACAGTATCAGTCAGTCTATGTTTTATGAATTTTATCCAACTGTGTCAGCTACAATTTTCATAGATTCTACTCATATTACATAATTTGGAACAGTGTTAATCGAGTGAACATCAACTCTAGGATGAAGGTATATTCAGCTGGCGAGTCCCAAATAGAACGAAACGCTCGTCAAACTAGATTCCACTGTTAGCCACTATCCATCTTTGCTTATAAAGCTTATGACTTCAGGCAATATCGAGGCAATACGCACAGTGTACACATATGTCAACAAGAGAGTGATCAATTGCAGTCCTAAATAGCAATGGGAAGATACAAGTAAACAACATCACGTGAATGTGTTAATAGTTTATTCAAGGAAAAAAATCTAGAATTCCAATGTGTTGTTTTCAGTTTTTCATGAATTCCCACTGAAATATGATATATGCATTGAAAATAGAAGAAAAATCTCTGTACTGGTAATTAATCATTCATAGGCACTCATTTTGATATTCATTTTATTCCTGATGATAAATTTAGCCACACGAAAGTATTTTTGAGAAAAAAAATCATGCAATATTACAGCGATTTCTTTATTGCTATAACTTTTGGCCTTGTGCCCCTATCACTTTATAACGTAATTATACCATCAATTGTAGAACAGTGGCTTATCAACCGGACCAATAACGCGTAGACCCGTATGAGCCGTCTAGAGTCCTTATCGTTCCTTTTTCCTGCGTAGCCCTGATTGTCAAGTCTAGAACACCGATAACAGCCTCTGCGATATGAATCATTTATTTTAAACATACTATGTTTATATACAAACCAAACAGACCACATCACACCATAAAATAGAAAATAACATTTGTACATGATTCAGTCAAAAGTAGCTGTAAATGTGGGAAACTGCAATTAATAGACTGGGCATAACCCAAAAACGGTAAATCGTATAATACTAGTCTATGGGTTAAAATAAAGCTTATGACATGAGGAACATGCATATGCATAGTTTAGCTACTTAACAACTATACAATAAGATTATATGTATCATATTGGTGCATAAATAGTTCTCAAAAGTTATCATTCATAATTCTTGTTGAGATACAACACTTATCATACATCCATGTAACTTATGAATATTTATGAAAAATGTATGTTTAATTCATTTCTACTATGATTATTTGTTAATCAGTTTCAATTGTTAATGTTTCTGATCAGAGTGCTATCACTGTAACATTTTTATAGCTTAATACATATTTGATGGATGAATTTCAAAGACAAATAATCTTTCACTTCTTTTATGAATAGATAAGACGAGAAATATGACA